GGCCTCTCCCTGGCCATTGTTCCTGGGATAAGCGGTGCAGCCTGGGGAGAAGACTCATCTGTCATTTCTGGAAGTTCCTCTCCAGCACTTTGCTACTCGGTAGCCTTTGGCTTCGTTAACCCGTGTGACTGCAGTCCAGGGAGACGCTTGAGCACGTGCCTTGGTTTGATGTTACCGTGCTGCGGTACAGGAGCTGATGGAGAGGACTGAGGTTGCTCCCAACCTGCCAGCTTGGATGGTCGTGTCACCTCTGTGCCATGTGACAGCAGCGATGTCCTTCCTCCTAACCAGGATTGTGGTGGGAATAACAAAGAGGTAGTGCTTTTGTAAATAGTACAGCTATGTGCAGCCTACTGGTGTGGTTAATGTGCATTCGTTCAACAAATATTCGTTGTCTTTGCCAAGGTGCTTGCAAGAATGCTCTACATGGGCGCAAATATATGATACTTTCAATGCAGTTAAATACTTTGAAATCCTGTGAAGAGGCAGGGCGCTCCTAATGGGATCATGTGCTTAGCAAGGCACGCAGCCCCACAGTTTCCATTTAAATTCCTGCTCCTTTGCAGATAAGGGCTGGCCTAGGTTTCGTAACCTCTTTGAAGGTACCTGTTGCATATTTGCTGTGTAGACCACACTAGTGCAGTCTTGCTTTTGGTTTATGTGGAAAAGTGGAAGAATTTGAATGCACACCCAAAAGAATTTGATAATTGCTCTTAAGTGAGGATTYAGCTCGCAACAGCCACTGTGTTAATCTGTGATTGCAGAAATCTCATAATCCAATGAAAATTGAGTTCCAGTGACCAGTGTCCCACATGTGACTTGCTTCTCTTGTATGGACCCTTTGCAATTTGCTTTCTCCTCATAGCAGCTCTTTTCCATTTGAGTTCACCTTGTTGGATTTACCTGGCATTCTTATGATAYATAGCATAAGGGTCCAAACACAGGCTCTAGTATGAAAAAGGAATTTATAAATTATGAAAGACCAGAGCGCTGAGCAGGAATGTAAAGGGGAGAAGGAAAGGCAGGTAGAGGACATTTGGAAAACTAACTGGAAAGCAAAGGGGATGGTGAGAAGGACTATAAAAAATGAGTAGAAATGTATTTTAAGAGCAAAATCAGGGAAGCTATTCATAAAGAAAATGAATATCTCATGTAGAGAACTGGGAGGCCTTCAGCCGGTTTCAGTTAAACGGCACAAAAAAAGCCAGTAGTTTGCAGCAGCCCCCGTGAAGGGACAGCAAGGCGGGAGCTGCTCCGGGAGCGTGGCCCGGAACGGGGCCAGGCGCGATGCGGCGGGCTGGGAAGGCTCTGCCTCGCGTGGCCACCACGGAGGCCCTCTGCGGCCAGCCCAGGTATCTGCCTGGCCCCGCTGTGCCGAGGGAAGCGTCTGCAGAGGGGAACAACCTGCGAATGTAGGCTGGCCAGTCTGGATGCTGCACGCTCTTCTTTCAGAGGAAATCAGTGGCTTGCTTTGCTGACAAGCCTCAGGTGACAGCTAGGGACAAATGCCCTCACTGAGTCTCCCAGTTGCCTGCCCTGTTCTCTGCTCTGCAACTGCCCCCAAATATCTTTCCACCTACCAGGAAGAGAAGGTTAAAAAGTGAGAAGTTGCATTATTGGGACATTAATGCTTCTATGAGTGAACAACCCTAAAGCAGATGTCGTTTAAAGTGAAGTAGATTGACCTGAGACTCTTAAGAACTGCACCTGTTTTTCCCTGAGCTTTGTGGAATGTGATCAGCAAGAAGCGAAGCAAGATCCCAGCCCACGCCWGCAGTTCTGGTGGGTGTCCCGAGGGCAGAGATGGGAAGTGCGGGGAGAGGCCGGGTTTTGGTGGCAGGCAGCTTCAGTAACTCGCAGCATCTGGTTGACCCTTGACTGCCAGAATGGATAAGGCAGAATCAGAAGATCTGCTGTAATTAGGTTTGTGTAAAGCATACAATAGCAAAGATTAACGAGCAAGGCAATATTTCCCAGAAAATAAGGTGTTGTCTGAGATCTTGACAGAGATGTCTGAGATGTTGTCTGGAAAATACCTGTAGTGGACAAGCCAGAGGGTCTAGTGTTAAGATTTTAATGTGGAGGTTGATACACACTCGATGATGGCTGGAAACGCTGCACAGGTTCACAACTGGAATGCAAGAGGCAATTGCAAGAGGCAGCAGGAGCGATGTGGGCTGGGATCCTGCCCCTTGCTTGGGAAGGAACAGAGCAGAAGGAGTTCGTGTGATGGTGGAAACAATTTGCACSTGCAGAGTACAAAGACCTTTTCTGTTTAGGTCTCCGTATGCTCTACGCAGTAATAAATCACAGGGCTGTCACAGCTGGGGACATCATCTGGTCCTTGAGTCAGCAAACGACAGGGATTTTGCTGCCTAAGAGCAGCTGGGATTGCTTGCCAGCGTTACCTGCAAGCAGAGATGGAGGACGCCCAAAAAATCCAGGCTGCTGCATCAGCCTGGGCTGCCTATGCTCCTCCTTTGGCAGAGGAGGACYCAGCCTTAACCTGCACCTTCCAGCCTCACTGGGCAAGTCGGTATTAGAGGCAGGCAGACAACCCAGCCTGCCTGCCTCCCGGTTTTGTGCTTTAACCACGAGCGAAGTTTTACCTTCTATCAACAACTTGGTCRCTTTTTCTATTGACCTGGAAGATGATCTGCAGTGTTAGGTGAAAATCACTGAAACGGCAATGATTTTTTTTTTTTTTAAGCTGTCTTGAAAGAAAAGGCAGAGTTTTGTGAGGGATCTGTGGGTGAACTGTTGCAGTGCTGCTGTCCTTTGATTTATTCTTCTTCATCAGCTCAGGAGAAAAATAAAATCCTGTCTCTCAGGGTTTAATTTTCACAAATGTGAACTTTTACTGGTAGGGACAAGAAGATTTCAAAACTGGCTATTGTTAGCCCTAGCAAATGCCATGTGTCTGCTCTGGGGAGATGGAGAACAAAGTTGGCACCAATAATTAGTGGCTCATGCACTGATTTGGCAAAAGCTGCTGAAAAGAAGCATCTGATGGAGAAATCTTGGGATGATTTAGTAAAATACAGTGCAGCCTGAGCTGACTTTTGGAAGGGTACTGTACAAAGTGCTGGGGTTGTTAGAATGGAGATAGCATGTGCAAAATGTGAAAGAGGAGCTTGGTGTCTTAGTTCTCCAAGTTATTCCCTTGTCTTTTCTGGCATATAACGATGCAAAAACAGAGTTAGCTGATGCAACTGAGCAAAGCTGAGATGTCATGCTGCGRGTTGATGGTCACATTTCAGATGTCCTGTAGATGGAACTGTGTTTTGCCTCTTCTCTGGTAAAGTAGGGACATTGGTTTTGTCACTTATGAGCGAACGTGACACCGGGATAACGTGGCGTGGGCAAATGAAAGCAGCYGTTTGTCGCCGCGAGGCGCAGAGGGTCTGGCCGAGACGTGAGCACCGGGGCACGAGGCTGCGTGCGGAGCTGCCCTTGCTGCCACAGAGAGGGCCCCAGGAAAAGGCCATTAGTGGGAGGCTGGGATGTGAATCAAAAGCCGTGCTCTGCTGACAGAGATGTCTCAAGCCAGGCCACTGGGYTGGGGACAATTCCAGCGGTGGCTGGAGCTGGAGTGACTCCTGTTGGCAGGGCTCTTGTARGTGGCACAGGGACAAGCATCCCTCCCAATCCAGCCCATAAAGCAAGGGTGAAGGCTGCTAGTGGAGGTGGSAACCCAGCTGTCTGGATGGGCCTCCTGGGCTGTCGCTGTGGTGGGAAGCTCTTGGGAAGCTCAGCGTCCCGCTCACCTTGCCCAGGTCCCAAGGTGAGCTCACAGTCATGTTGGTAATGAGCCCCAAAACGTGTTCATCTCCTCCAAAGCTGTCCTTTCTGATGTGAAAATCTGAATACATGAAGATGGAGAATCTACTTCTTTCATGGAGTTTCTTTGTGCTATTTCTTATATCCTCTTTGAAGGTGACAGCTCTCACTTCCTCCCTTTGCTTCCCATTATGTTTTCCCTGATCTAAGCACTAGAAGCCTTTAATAAATCCACAGTATTCTCCTGGCTCTTAGCYTCTCTGAGCAAATCTTCTTCTGCCATTCACTGGAATCCAGAGGTTCTTCCTGGGTCTCCTAAGGGCTATTGTAATGYAAATGATAATAATGATATTAATAGTAATCGGTGCTATTCTATAGGGTGAAATGTCAAGAGTCCATATTTTCGTGTTAATTTTTAGTATGCAGGAGCCACATCAAGTGGATCCCATTCTGTCAGAGAACAGGCCTTTTATATGGGGGCATTATTAGACTTAGTTAATAAAAGAGGCTATTACTGCGCCTGAAGTTTTTTGACATACAGTAATGCAATGTGACATGACAGATTTGCAGCGAAGGATGAAAAGCTGCTAAAAGAAATACTTGCRTGTAGCTACAGCTGACTCGGGCGTATATCTAAAACGTTTTCCCAAGTCATAAAGATAAAAAAGATTCATGTCAGTGCTCTTGATTCCCTTGTGTTTGTCTGGGAAAGGAGTTAGGGTGTCCAAGAGGTTGGACTGCTTTATTGCTACCTGTCTGAATATGAAAAGGTTATATCAGCAACTGYACTCGCCTTGAAATACAATCCTGGGGCAGGAAGATCAAGGTTTCAAGTGCGGTGCGTGTCTTTAACCGTGGCTCTGAAATTGAGGACAGAAGCAGTAGTACAAGGCCCCTGAACAGTCTATTTCTTTTACAAGCGTTTCTAAGTGTTGTACTGCAAACAGCTGCGTTGTTCTCCTCAGACGTGGGTATGACTTAGAAAAACTCTTAGCCTTGGGTTTATTACACAATGTTGCTTGTAGAAAGGGTTGCTTTGGCTTTCAAAGTGAAACCTTTTGGGTGAGATTGTGCCAAAACGTTATTGTCAAGCGAAACTCGGGCTGTTACATAACAGGCAGAACACAACAAATGCTGCTCCCTGGGCTTCATAGGGAGCTTCATGAGCCCTGCCTCGGCGCCTGTGCTGGCTCGTAACCCTTTTCTCTCGCTGGTTGCAGAGGCGAACCTCAGCGGCCTGGACGGCCTGGACGGCGTGCTGAGCCTTGTGGAGGAGCGGGCGCGGCGCTCGCGGCGGCGCTCCCGCCGGCACGCCACCGACGACGACTACAACATCGAAGTGCTGCTCGGCGTGGACGACTCGGTTGTCCAGTTCCACGGAAAAGAGCACGTTCAGAAGTACCTGCTCACCCTGATGAATATTGTGAGTACAGCACCACTGTTTCACTAAGACACCACAGATGTCCCATCCATCAGAACACACATTAAACGTTTTAAAAGTCCCACTGCCCTTTTTTCCTTGGCCGCTTTTTCTTCTCTTCCTTCTTCCCTTTTGCATTTCTAGGGAAGGCCTGGATTTTGCTCCTGAAAGTAAGTCAATTACAATGAGAGACAGAGAGAGAGAGAGACAGAGAGAGAGAGAGAGAGAGAGAGAGAGAGAGAGAGAGAGAGAGAGAGAGAGAGAGCCCTACTCAGGTGTTTGCGTGGGGTCACAGGGTAAGGATCCTTGGAAAACATTACACTTCAGATATATGTTTCTAAGCTTCCTTAGGAAAACATGGTTTTGGAGAACTGTGTTCAAATAAGGTTGTGCTAGAGACTTTGATTAGCTTATTAACTCTTAGAACTACTAGGTTAAATTCTTTGATTCCTGGACAATCATTTTAGTTCCCAAATGACCTAACTACTCTTTGTTCATACCATAGTAAAATATTATGCAGTATATCACTGAACTTTCTTAAACTGATCCAGAATTTACTCCATGGCTGACATCCTTTGGTTTCCCTAGTTAAATATTTGATCTTCAGAAACACTGTCTGTGCAACAGACTATATACTGTGCTAGTGATGAAAGCAGGCAGACACTAGAGAATATTATATTTGAAAAGAACATTTTTTTCTTTCTAAATGTCAGCACGGTAGATATGCCCATAGGCAGCCCTTTAGTACGCCTGTCAGTAAGCCAGGACACTGTTTCGTGGGGAAAAAAAGGATCAAGTTTTGAAGAATCATCTTTGTTATCTCAGAATCTAAATACATTTTGTTCTTTTGGCCAAAAATGAAGGAGAGAACCTCTCTCCGGAATGACTGTTAGCCTCCTGGTTCATTGACAGCTCATCCTGGGATCACTTTTGTCCTTCTCATTCTCCCCTGGAGCAGGAGGCTCTTCTGAATAAAATGCACTTCTGTAAGAACTTCAGTTTCAGCCAGCATGTTCTCAGTGACATGGAGGTGAGCAAAACGTGGTAGGTTTAACAGGCAGAATATAACTGCTGAAGTCTGAAAGAAATCCTAGAGGATGGGCACCTACAGGTGACTTCTTGGCATTGCAAGCCATGGAGGCAGATGTATAAAGAGAAAACAAGGCTCTCAAGTACATTTTGCCTGGGAAGTCTTTTTTTTTTTTTTCTTCCAAGATATGTAGTTTAATTAGGAGGCTTGTTTTCCTTCTTCCTTTACTATATTCTGTTAACAAAATCAAAATGTCACTGTTTTTCATTTTAAATGAGAAGTGGAATACAATTTAAGAAAATCCCTTGGGTGAAGTAAGTTGAATAGCCCTGACATTTTATAACAGTACTGCAAATACTTAGAAATCTGGACTCACATTAGAGTTATGAGGTACTTAGTGTATGCTCAGATGGCTGTAAATATATATATTCCAACAGGAAGGACATAGTGAATTCCATATATTTGTGTGGCTTGTTTGCTCCAAGGCTTGAAACAAAGTCTACAGAGAAACAGATGGTTTTCTACATCTCTAAATTAACAAGCCAAACAGGCCTAACCAGTAATGTGGCAAACAGGCTGAAATAAATGAAACAAGACTCTTTACTTATCATGTCACTTAAATCTATTTTTAAGACACAGAAAAAAGCATACAGTAATGGTAAAGAAGCCATAAATGTTCCAACTCTGGAATATACTTGCTCCTAATTTTAGCAAAGCATCCAGCACAAAAATTGTAAGAAATAACAGCTCTCAAGCATGCTGCCTCTGCAAGTGGTTTAGAAAGTGCAGCCTGTGTAACCGTATCCACGGGGCAGCAACAAATACCTTGGCATGGGTGTAAGTTGTTCTGTTGTGAGATCCGAGATAGCTTGGGGACTGCGGATATGTCCCTTCCCTTTGTGCCAACGTGTGGTGAGGCGCTGGCATCCCCAGGGCCCTTYGGGAGGCTCTGGGAAGCCGTTGGGAATCATTAAGATTGTTCCATTCTTTCTGTGTTCAAAACTCAGCTGGTTTCTGGCCACTGTTTTAGAGCAGAGGGACAGGGCGGGTGTGGAGCAGTTCCCTCCTTCTGGCTCTCCAGGCTTTGCTCTCAAGAATAGAGGAGTGAGATTTTGCTCCTGCAGAATGGGGYGCTTCTGGAAGAAGCACCAGGTGATGCTGGAGGTCCTTACCCTGCTGGTGTTGATCCTCTTTGATCCTTACCCTGCACGTCCCATCCCTTTCCCTCAGCTCCCCTTTCATGTCCAGGGAGGCTGCGTCTCCTCGCTGCCAGTTGTGCAGGTCACAACACAGGACCCCAGCCCTCTCCCTCCATCTGCACCTTGACAGCTCCTCTGGCTCTTGCCTTCATGTCTAGGTAGACGCAAGGAGAGTTTCTGTGTAAATGCTTTGCTTTCCTTGCTGATACTTGTTGTCCTCTCTTTTAACTCCTTGGTAAGTTCTTTATACCTCTGTTGTAGAAGAAGAGCCAAAGTAGAAACACTTGGGATCTCTAGTTGTTGAGGGTCATATATTTATGATTGGATACCTAGGTCTGAGAGTACCTGCAAGAGAACGGACAACTAGGGGGGAAAAAAAACCCACTGGAAAAATCTGGTGGGAGATCACATTATGGCCATCAGACTGCAGGTGCCCTAAAGCCAGCTTTCTACAACAGCAAGGCATTCAGCATTAAAACAAAGATTATACAGTAAGTAAAACATTAAAATAATAGTGGAAATATTTACTGGAGATAAGAGATTGGAAAAACTGAGTTTCTCTGGATCCAAAAATAAAATAAATCCAGGTGAATTCTCCCTTGTGCCCAAACTCCTGAAGGCAAAATTCTTTCTGTTCCTGTAATYGCTTTCCCAGAACCATCTCCCAGCATGGCTCCTTCTCCCCATTTTGCCTGATTCCACTGTGTGTGATGGTGCTAGCAGTTGTCCTCAATTAACTTTTCCCAGGGAACTTGGGTGGATCCCTACCACCAACCCAATCAAAACAATGTATTTTTTTTTCAAGCCAGTGCAATGACTTAGTAAATCTGTTTTGTGCTGCTTAAGTGATGTGTTATAGTCCACACCTAAAAGCCATAAAGTGGGGGGGGGGAGGGGGAATAAACACACACACACAGGGGCTGGGTGTCCTGGCTCTCTTGACTAGCTGTGCTAATAGTTATCCCAAAGTTGGGAAATTAAGTCAGTCCCAAACGAGCGGCGAGAGATGCCAGAGGATTTTTAACAGCTTGGGCTGCGGCCACGTATCGCCTGACAGCGCCAGCCGCTTCGCTGCAGTGAACGAGGCCTCTTGCCACCCCATTTTCATCYTCCAGTCGTTTCCTCCTACAGAAACCTTGGTTTCTCTTGCTCGCCCTGCTCTGCTTGGCACCGTGGGGGCATTCGGTCTGGCTGGGGAACAAATGCCATTGTTTTCACTCTGGAGCCCCTCGGCTGCCTCATGCTTGCAGCAGATTCTTCTGTGCATCGTACTGTGTTTCTTGCTGGGTAGGATATTATCTCGCACAGTCCTCTGTATTTCCAAGCTTGAGCCCACACATTGCACAGATTAACTGTATTTATAGTGTGCAGGAGCACTGCAGCAGAGGAGAGAGATTTGGGGAGGCATCTTGCAGCTTGTAGTCAACACAAGAACATGCAAAGCAATTTAATTTCAGTAAAAAGGGAAGGAAAAAAAAAAGAGAGATTTTATCTACTTCTACAAGGGTTTGGGAAATATATATATATATTTTTTAAGTGCTGGTCTGGAAGCATCTTGTTGGTTGTGAAACAAAAGGCTTTCTGCCTTTTGCAGACTGCAGGACGCTTTGGGGGCTGCCTGGGCGTTAGCGGGCTAAAGTGGGTATTGATGACAGCCAGCCTGGGGCTGARTCTCTCGCATGGTTTCTTGCCTGTCTTAAAAATAGTTTTAAGGATTAAACAGCCCTTTTGAGATGGCAGASCTGGGCTTAGCTGCATGTTTACCTGGCTGGGCCTGGAGGATTCACAGGGGTGAATATTTCACCCGCCCAGTCCAGTGTTCAGATGCACGTGCCCAGTGGGTGGCTTGATAACAGACTTGCTCAAGAGGCAGACTTAAAGGAGCTGATCTTAAAATATTTCTACTTTTCATAATAGTGAAGTCTCATGAAATAAGCTCTATTGCAATTTTTTTGAGTGTATCAGCTCCATCTGTCTTGACTTTAAGTTGGCAACTTTGATGCCTCTGTCTGTAACAGTGACTTTTCCCAGGCAGAGCCCTGCTCAAGCCTTTCCTTGTGTATCCTGCCTTCCTCCTTTCCCACAGCAATATATTGAAGCTTAAATCAAGCACCTTGTTTTCGAATGCTGCTGTTTTACCTCCTTGTGTATTTTCAGTAAGAGTTTGACTAAAAATTATGTACACTGCTTGATTTTTTAGATCATTTTGGGGGTGGGAGAAGAGGAAAACACCTGCATAATAAATTTTTTTTTTTTTTTTTTTTTTGCCAAAGACCATCTCCCTAAAGCAGTTAAGCACCTAACGTAATATTTCAATGGGAGATAGGAGTAGTAGGATTTAGGACTGTCTTTGGGCTACATTTGTCTGAGTAGTTAGTCATTTACCTGCCATTGAAATCGGTGGGAGTCATGCTTAAAAATTAGCCCTTGGGATTAGGGCTCTGCCTGCCTTCAAGGGAAGCTTCAGCTCCAAAGCAAATGGGTTAAGTGGTTTTTCATTTGAATAACTGAAATCAAAGGGAGCTCTGCAGCTGGGGGCCTGGGAAGGTCCMACGAGGTTTTCACCTGCCTCCTTCAGCACCAAGCAGATCTTTGTAAATGTGGCCCCGCGGCAGTTCTGAATGTGTTATCTGTCTCCTTTAGTGGGAGGTACGTGATACTACTGTAACGTGTGAGAATTCTGCTTTTTCATCTTTGGGTGATGAGGGATGAAGCTTTTCAGGTACAGAACAGCAAGGCCCAAATGAAAGGCAAGATCAGAATTGCCATTGATTTTTCACTAACAGTGGGACCTGCAAAACTTGACTGATTGGAGCTGAGGAAGTGGTGATCGAGTACTCTAAAGGTGAGCCCCCAAGTCAGAATCTTTTTTTTTTTTTTTTTTTTTTTTTTTTTTTTTTTTATCATGTTTTTTTTATTTCAGTTAGTATAAAACTACCTGGATTTTTTTCAAAATGGAATAATTTATAAGTACCAACACTCATTATGTCAAGTCTATTTAGTTCAGTGTGCACACTTCAGATCTGAACTTTCCCTAAGAAATCCCACAAATAACAATTGCAAGACCAGCTCTACTCATCTGAGGGAMTTCTGTTTGAATTGCAGATCGTTACAAAATTTTAATATGTGTGTGTGAGTTAACTTCTCTCTCAGATTGTTTGTTATAAACCAGTAGGTTTGGCTTGTGAGAGATTTTTGATGAGGCCTCAGGAGATTATTTTTCTTCATTATTTTCACTGCCATGCTGTAGTGGATGTGAGAGTTGTGCGTTATATTGGATGTTCTGTAGATCCTTTAGGAAATGCTCTTTCTGAACTCCTCACGGTTTTATTAATTTTCACATGGATATTGTTTCCAGCATCAATTAGGTGAACATTTCTTGTGATCATTAAATGGAAAATGCCTTGCCTGTTGTACACAGTGCTGGGCATCCCACAGCTTTGGGTATCATCCTTAAGGAAAAGAGTAATTACTGTGAAAAGAAAGTGGTTTTTTTTTTTTTTTTTTTTTTTCTCCTCAAAATATCCACATGAACTTTAGCTGCAAGGGGCTTTGGAGAGGTGACACTTGTGGTTTGCCTGATGGAGCAGGGCTAATTAGAATCAGCTTCCCAATTTTGGAAACTTTCCTAAACCAAACCACTTTAGATTTGAAGAGTTCACCTTATTTATTGCATTAACACTACACCCCATTGTATTAATTTCAATAAAGCCACTTAATTATTTTATGATAGTATAGCTGACTTTATTAAAGTAGTCTTGAGGCTGTAATTTAAACAAACGCTAATTCTTGCRGTGCAAACACTCTTTCTTTCCAGTGTTTAGAGAAATATCGCAGTGCTGTGATTTAGAGACAAAAAAAAAATGGGGAGTTCCAAGAGCCTGAGGGAGGAACTAAGAAAAATAAATTAGTCATGAAGTCAGAAAACAAAGTCTRTGACCTTTCTAAAGCCAGCGGCACAGCCGAGGACGCGCGAGGGCCCGTGATGCGGCACTGCCGCGGGCCTTGCCAGCACATCTGCTCCGCGGTGTGTTTTTCATCCTGATCAGAAGCAGCAAACTTGGACTTGGGAACATCCACTGAGCTCTCGCGTCTGCGAAGGTAAATCAGAGCTTGGGCTTGGTATTTACGTCCAAAATGCCAGATTTTTATCTCCGTTTTGCAACGTACATTGCCAAGCGCGCCTGTCCGGCCTGAGTTTCTGAGCCGAACGTAGATGTCTTCCAAATCTGAGGTCACCCTGTGACCTTTAGGTCCCAGCTGTGCGCTCTGCTTTCCTTATTCTGCCCTCGTGAGACTCAACAGAGATTTGCAGAGGGACGAAAGTTTAAAAAAAGGAGAAAAGAAAAAAAGAAAAAAAAAATAAAGAGAGCTTATCACCGAGAGGCTGGGTATGGCCTGGAAAGGGACTGGCAAGCCCTGGCTTTTCCTGGTGACTCTGTGACCAACGTTCCCCGCAGAGGCAGCGATGCACCGTTATGGCGATGGGATGAGGATGGAGCTTTGGGAATGGTAGAAATGTGAGGTTGTGATCTGCAGAGGTATCGAGAAGGTGCTGAAAGTGGAAGAGGAGAGTGTGGTTTGGAGTGAGAGCTCGGGATAAAGGGAGGGGGCCCCTTGATGGTCCTTGTTCCTGCGGCAGGAAGCTTGGGCTGTAGGGATGAAGCTGGTAGGGCTGGGTGCTCACAGTGCAATTTAATTGCACTGGGTGGCTCAGGGGCCTGTGGCAGCTGAAAGGGCGGCTTCATTAGGGACTCAGGGAAACGCTTGACTTTCCCTTAAAAGTTCTGCCCGCCTCCTTAGCAGGTAACGCAGCCGCCCGCAGTGGGCCTGGCAGGACAGCAGGCACTTGGGTGTGATTTCCAGGGCAAGTTTTCAAAATTCACTTTCCAAATGGGGCTCCGTTTTGCTCAGTAACAGAAACTTTGCAGTGCTGCCTTACCAAGTACAATGCACCTCACAGACACTTGGCTGTTTTTAGCTTGCTTTTTTTTTTTTTTTTTTTTTTTTCCTACTCTGTTGGCTTCAAATTTGCTTAGGGCAGAAGAATTATAAAATAAGCAGAGAGAGACAGAAGAGAAAGTAAACAAAGTCTCCCTTTGTGGCACTGAACTGTACCAGCCTGCTTTCTAAACAGCGACTTTCCTTCCTTTAGATAGCAGTGCACTCTTGGAGTGAAATATTCCAGAAAAATAAACTGTGATACCAAATTATCCCAAAATAACTYGTGACCTGCAGTCATTTTATCAAAGTCCCTTTACAGTATTTCACAGAGCCTTGAACTCCTTGAGATTTACCCGGCCTTCTCCATCGCCCTCTCTAAGTGCTGAATCACTGTGGGACATCTGACAGGGCTGGATGCAAAATCTTCCTTTGCTTCGTTTCAGGAGCTTTGATTCTGAGCTGCTTTTTGGGTGCCCTCTTTTTTCTTCTGCAGCAGCACAATTTTGGACTGTGATTCTTACTGAGCTAAGAACAAGCAGCAGATCCACCTCTGATCTCTCTTTCATTGAGATAAATCAGGATGTCCTACTGAAGTACACGGAGGTACAGAGCTGTAAAAATACTCTGCAAAAAAATAATCGTTTTCTGAGTATTTGGTAGGCAGATATCTGAACGTAGRTATAGCCATTGGCTGACTATCTGTGCCTTGAAACAAATTTCGGCATTAAATTCAGCAGYTCTGGGTTGAGGAAGAGTTTAGAGCTTCCTAATTTCACAAATTGGTTGGAAATTTTGTGTTCTAGGCTACCAGTTCCATTAGTTAAACTGTAGACTCCTATTAAAATGATATATGGAAGTTTAAATAGTCATTAAGCCAAGGGCTGTGGATGCCTTTTCCATGTAAGCATTTCTCATGAGCTGTCAAGAGCACATAACCCTCAACATTCAATCCCTTGGATCTTATTTCTTTAATAACTTCCAGAAGCACACAGGTGCAGTTTAGGTCATGCTGAAAAAAAATGTATTTATTTCAAGGTATTATCTACTTGCAGCAAGATCCAGCTACAGTTCAGCTTAGAGAAAGAGCCAGAGGTTCAACTCRGCTGCGGTGCAAAGGGGAGTTGGATTTGTCCTTACAAGTGAAATGAAGCCCCAGACCTTTGACCTGACCTACTCTCTTGCAGAAAATCCGGCATCTTGGGAGAGTCAGGCAGCTTTTATGAAGCTCCTGCGTTTCTGGTGCTTCCCAGTTTGGTGGTTAGGTGTCGTTTGCATGAGGAGTTGCGCGGCGTTTCCACTTTGCCGAGTCTCATTTTGGCACGCGGCAGCGATACGGTTGTTCTGCTGCTGCACTATTGTTAGCAATTTGGATGATGTGTTACGAACTAATTAAGTACTTATTTACATGCTGGGTTTAGTGTCTTCTGCACACAGGCCTTTGTGTTCAGTATTCATTTCATGTATAGATAATTTACAGCCTCTTTGAAGCTGCTTCATAGATGCAGGTATTCTCTTTGCAGTACACAAAGGATTAGGCAAATTAATACCTCTGCAGCATGGTGGTAATGCCCTGGAGTGTGTGGAATAGCCAGTAAAGATCACGATGAAGCATCCCTGTCAACACGCAAGGGACTTTGTCCTGGGTGAAAGATTTTTCATAAAGTAAAAGGCATGTCCAGAACTTCCATCTGCCTGCAGGAATGTCCCTGAAAGTCAAAGGTTCTTTAAAGGCGGGGATATGGAGCTGTTCTTCTCGAGCCTCACTCATCCGTGTAAATAAATGATCTGATTTCCAGTGGTTAGAGAGCAGGTCCGCACAGRGCGGCTCCGTGGAGTGTTGCTGCTGGGGGCAGGACGGGCTCCCAGTGCCCGTGTCCCCTCATGCGGGCACCGAGCGGTCCTGGCGTGACCCCCAGCTTGTCCCCACCGCCCGCACGGGCACCTGCGGCCACTGTGGAGCCCCGGGGACCCCTGGCTGCCACTGCGGGGTGCCCGGGACTGCTCTGATGCTTTTCTCTTTGATGATCTGTGCCCAAACAAGAGATGAGCCGCTAAGGCTGACCAAAGAAACAAGCCATTGCTTATTTTATTTATTTATTTAAAGTATTTTGGAAGTTAGCACTTCCAAAAGCACTTGTTTAGTTACGTATGTACTTCTAGTACAAATTTTTTGTACTAGTACAAAAATACAAAATAGTTTTTAATTTGCTGGCATTTTGTGGATTTTGTTCTGCTTGCAGAGTTTAAGGCTGATTAGCTTTGACTCCAAATGAAGCCAGCCCATGTGGCCATGGATGCTCTTTGAGGGGGTTGTAGCCTCTTGTCAGGATGTAACTTGATGAGTCCCAGATGGAGGAGTCGTCCGATGCGGCCGAGCTGCCCTAGCCAAGGGCTGTCCTGGAGGAGGCAGCGTCGGAGCCTGGCCCTCCGCTCGTCCCCTGCATTCCCTTGTGCTCCTCATCCATGCAGAACCACTGTGGTTGAGGCACAGAGTTGAGAAAGGATAAATTCCCCCCTTTAAATTAGTGGGATTTTCCCCTTTTTATATCGGATCACAAGTTTATGTCTGATCACTAGTGATCTTTGGCAGTGCATAAAAGATGATACTTTAATTACTTCTCAGCCAAGCTGTTGGTAACATCATGAATGCTCTGTTGCAGGTTAATGAAATTTATCATGATGAGTCCTTGGGCGCTCACATCAACGTTGTCCTGGTGAGGATTATCCTACTGAGCTACGGAAAGGTAGGTAAAGGTTCATTGAAATGCAAGTCAAGAGCTCTTAAATTCAGTCTTCTATGACCTACATATTGATGTGTTTTTGTCTCTTCATTTCATATTTTAATTCATACATTGTCCTTAAAAATCTAAAAATATAAATAGCTTCTCATTTCATAAAGAATCTGCATTTATGGGTGCATGTGTTTGTTTATTATGTGAACTTCAGACTAGGAAAATAATTGCATTTTCAGTGGGGTTTTCTCTGTGCAGTTTAAAACATCCACTTAGCTCTGGCCATCTAGTGTTTCAGATTTGTGTGGAATAATTCATGAAACAGAGTGGGGTAATGACCGTTTTAGTTCCTAAAGGAAATGTGAAGAACTGTGGTAGAACTCCATATTTGTAACAATAAACACATGCAAGATTAGTTCTGCAAGACACTGAGTGCTGCACTCGTTCCAAGAGCTCATTTAAACTTGTACTTAACATGAGTGAGACTAAACATGCGCTTAAAGTTAAGCATGAGCTCTGTGGGATAAGGGCCAGAAGGCAAGAGCCTTGCAGATCAAATCTATATTTAAGAATTCCTGGTGTTTCCTTGCTGTTTCCATGGAAGGGGTTACTCTCCAGGCAAAACTCTGGGTAAGAAGAGCTAAATGCTACATGGATTTCAAAATATTGAATTGCTCAGTACCTTTCTCCTATTTTTGCCAAATCAACATCAAATTCCATGGAAACAGGAAAAGGGCATTTCAAGCCTATCGTTAAAAGATATTGGTTAAGGACAAGACAATTTGAGAGTTCTATAGTACAGCAGCATGCCCAGCTGCTCAAACAAGAGTCTTACATATTTTTACATAAATAATCCTTTATTATGGAAAAAAATCATGCTGTGATGACAGTAATTTGAGGAATTCCAAGACTGACTAATACTTCTCCAAAAAAAATCAGATACCGCAGCAGTGGGAGAAAAAGGAGAACTGTCTTTCACCTGAGTGGGAGCTCTTTCACCTGATGGTGTGGGCTCTACGTGCTTTAACATTAGTATAGGAATCAAGGGTTTCTTTTTCTTATCCTTTTAAGGCTCCTGACCAGAGGTTTAGTAAAGAGAAGTAGAATATGAGGAGGTTTCTCTTCAGAGTGGTGGGATTATGGGCAGTGGAGAGGCAGGGAGGAAGGTGTATGGGTCTTAACTTCTCTTAAGGGCCTGTTCTGTGGAATTAGAACAAAACCTTCAATATTTTATTAACCTGCGAGATTATGGCAGCACTAATGTTTTTCAGAAGTACATATATAAACTACATAGTAAAAGGAAGGATGTGTGTGCAAGTTAAGACAATACATGAGTAAAGCACCTTGCTTGGCCTCCCAGTATGTGAATGTTATCCACAAATCTTGTCTGAATAAGCATGACCTCTGAAACCTTGCAGCTCATGTCTTCATGGTAGACAATTTATTTATATATTATCGAGGGTGCCATATAGATAACCATAATAATTACATTATGGTTCTGTAATTGGTAAACTATGTACCAATGATATACTGCTTTGCCTTCAGGTTTATGACAGCACTCCAAATTATTGCAAATTCTCCACCCCTAAACAGCTTTTTACTCCATTATTTTATCCATCTAAAAAGAAGATTATATTATTTTATACAATATGTCATCTGTTGATAAGGATAATATGGACAATATTTTGGTTGCATAGCAACCAGCTTTTTGATGTTTTTACTAGATCATATTCCATTTCTTGAATTTCTAAAATATTTTCAGAGAAACACAGCTGTATATTCAAAAGTTTTGATAACTTCATTAATTTCCATAATGAAATGAAAAAAGGTAACGGGAGAGCAGGAAGACGTTCCACGCTGATGACATGTTGAAATTACTTCATGGGTGAGTTCAAGATACGTGGAACTGTTTCCACGTGGAGATTCTGCAAAGAAGTAAATAAGATACATGTGGTGTGTTTTTTTCAGATGGGAAAAGAAGAGGTGGCTTTTGCTTCTGCCTTTTTTGGCTACAGTAGGAGGAAGATTGGTTTCAGATTTTGGAAACTGCAGATTCATTTCAGTATACTTCAACGGTTAGGCAAATTACTCCATTTAGATTTATTTTGGTTGCAACAGCTTCGAAATCCAGCGAGCTCTAGCATACTCACGGAAATGAATCAACCACTATCACCAAATGCAGAGGAGGTGGCAAGAGATGAGCTGCAAATGGATTAACAAAACCCAACTGGTTGTAATAAAATTTGTTTGGAAACATATTTGAATCCCAAGCACCACATAAAGTCCTCTCATCACCTCTTTGAGGTGGACGAATAAGGATTATTATTCCCATTTTACAGCTAAAAAAACAAAGATGTTAAGTGTTATTTTCCAAGGCCATGCAGAAGGTCACTGCCAGTCCAGGGAGCAGGACTCAGAAGTTCCTGGCCTGCAGCCCCCACGTTGTCCTTTGACAATGGTGACTTTGTGCGGAGATGAACTGGCCCCTACACAGCGGTAGAGAGAAGTCCACACGTTACCTGCAATGAATTTATTTAATATCATTAACAATAAAAAAGTTTCAGCAAGGCTTTTGCAGAAACTGCAAGCATTTCAATAAATGCAGCCACCCAGTGAACTCTTGGCTCACTTGAAAGGCTTCTCTGGGAGCGCTTAGTGCTGTGAACGTTTACATGTGGCCACCTGTGTGACACAGGCTTTATGAGAGCTCCTTCTCCAGGGTCCTTGCCTGGAGCAGCGTGGATGGCTCCAGTTGGCCACGTTCCACCTGGAGTGGGATGGGATGTGATGAGGGAGAATGAGTGTGGCTGGGGAGGGCAACTGGCAGGGAGGGAAAATCTACTTTAGTTACAGGCCAAGGCTGGCACAAGGACGAGGTTGTACACTGGCCATGTGTTAATTTGGCCAAATTGGAAGAGGAACTTGAGCAGACGCACAGAACTGGGAAGAGGGGTGAAAAAACAAGTGTTTTTAACATAGGTGTTAGGCTTTAAAGATGAAAGAGCTGGGCCTGTTCAGCCTGAAGAAGAGAAGGCTGAGGGGGCATCTGATCAGTGTATATAAATACTTAAAGGGAGGGAGTGAGGAGGATGGGGCTGGCCTCTCTTCAGTGGTGGCCACTGATAGGACTAGAGGAAGTAGCCACAAATTGAAGCACTGAAAGTTCCACAGGAAGGAAAAACCTCTTAACAGTGAGGGTGACAGAACCCTGGAACAGGTTGCCCAGAGGGGTTGTGGAGTCTCCTTCTCAGGAGATCTTCAAAACCTGCTTGAATGCAGCCTGTGCCATAGGCTGTAGGTGACYCTGCATGTGCAGGGAGGGGTTGGACTAGATGAAGGGGCTGAAGGACCCTTCCAACCTTAAGGATTCTATGATAGGACATAATGATATGACATGATTGCCTGCAGCTGTTCAGCTGAGAAGGTCTCTTCAATTGTGCATGTCTGAGTTCTTAGCAGAGATCCCGATGCCTTTATCTGGGACAAGGTTTTACTTCTGATCTTTTCTTAAAAGRGTGCTCTGCTTATCTCTGCTCTCTGACCTTTTCGTAGCTAACTGTGTTGAGTGCAGGCAAGAATGTTCTCAGTTCAGCCAAGCTGGAAAACACTGGTTTGGTCTCTGGTTCCCAGAGAGAATCAGCAGGGATGGAAGGTCAAGATCGGCTTCTCATCCCTTAGATCAAGACTTTGACCTGGCCAGTTTTCTGTTTCTTGTTTACAAATGGCATTTATGACGTGACTTGTGGAACACCCACCCAAAAAGATCAGCATTGATGAAGTCCTAATCTTGCAGTGCACTGTACAAATGTGTCTGAGGACAGAGTTCTTGATCCCAGTCTCTGGTATCTCCAGTAACTGACTCTACTCAGGCTGAGCTGTGAGGCCAGGACCTACATATTATTTACCAGTTTCACTGCTGTTTGTGATTTCCCACTAYTTTCATATGTTTAGATTAGGGTGTGGATAAAGATGAGAGAAAGGTATTGTCCCTCTTGTTTCTATCTGGATAAACTGAAGAATTGCCTCCTTTGTATATTGGGCTCATAGCTTATAATTTCCCCATGTGATTTGTTGGGACCTTGGAGAGTGTAGAGCTGGCTGATAACATAAACAGTACTTTGTATTCTTGATCTGCTTACATTTATACATGTTTATGCAGAATTAGAGAATGAAAAATGTTTACAAATTGCAGCCATAAAAAAAGCATTAGAAACCCTTTGCATGCAAAATGCCAGTTTGCCGAATGAGATATTTTTGTTAGTTCTGTTACCATGGACACTAGATAATTCTTTTTATTTATTTTTTGCTTGTCTCATTCAGGGTGACAAAAGGAAACRCATGATCTATTCCTATATACGATAAACAATAGAAATGCCAAGTAGAAGTAACGTAAACAGTGTGTTTTGTGGAGATGTTACCCATTCMAGAAGGGACAGATGTATTTTAAGTTGTCTCCCAAGTGTATGCAGTGCCGTGCTCCAACTTCTACCACCACAATTTGAAGTCTAGCAAGTTAAGTGTATTTCTGCTCCTTCTGGAGCTTCTGAAGACAGCAAAGCCTTCCCTGTTGTTACTCTTGGAGCACCACCTAATGGATGAGTTTGGAAAGGTCCTTTTCCAGCAAGCTTCTGACCAGCTTAGATTTCTTGCATTCCTATCAAGTATCTGTTCATTAACATCGTTGCAAAGTCATAACAGTTACACCCAGTGGTGGGTACATACAACTAAAAAGGAAACCCACCATCAATATGTTTCATGTAGTGCATCTTCTACATGCACTGGCAACCTGAACATTCTTGAAGGGTTTGGGTAGAATATGTATATTTATTTTTTTCTCCTGGAATGCCTTATATTTTATTAAAATTCTTAAAAATATTTGGCATATTTCTTATTTTGCAAACTATTTGCATGAATTTGGCTAACTTCCTGTACAGCTTCATGAATTGTTCTTCAGCATCTTCCTAACCGAGAACAGAACATCACATTGATAACTACCTGAAAAACATGGACAAAGAAAGCTCTATGGCATCTGGATCTGTTAGCAACAGCCTTCAGCCATTTCTTATTGCCCTGCTTTGCCTCCCAAAACCATAATTATGGTATTTGCAACTCAGCCATCTTCTAGTTTTGTTCCTTTCATTTCTTTTCTGCTTCTRTCTAAGGAGGAACAGAAGTAGAAAAGGCAAAATCAGGCAAGGATAAAAATGGAGGGCATTAGTCAGTGCATTTTTTTGCAGAGCAAGGTTCTCAAGCTCTTCTCTAGGGCAGCCTGTCCTTGTAGCCCTCTGTGGTATCTTCCCATCTGCCATCTCAACCAAGGCCTTTCCACTTCTCGGCAAACATCTCCATCTGTTTCCATCAGCAGTTCTCTGAAATGCTCACAGATTTTTCTTGCTGTGAGAAGGAAAGTTTCTCTTTCCACTGGCAGATTTCCTCCTGGTCAGCTGAGTAATGCTCTCCACAGGCCTGCTGCCCTGTTTGGAAAGAGGTCCTTTCCAGCCAGGTCCTAGCTCCCAGCCAGCTGCAGGACTTGCATGTTCCTGGCAGTGTGGGCCCCTTCCTGGCCAACACTAACACGTACAGCTCTTCTCCCTAGTCAGCTTTTGCCTCCTAGCCCCCAACCGTTCTCTGCTCACAGCCTTACAGAGAGGGACTTTTCCTCTCCTTGCAGTCCTTGCTGGTGTGCTCAGCTCACCCCTCTTCCTCCTTCTCCTTCCGTTCACTTTGTCCATTTAGTATGAGGCTGGAATTTTCTGGGTTTGTCAAATATTGCTTATGGATTTCCAATGGAAAGTATTAGCAAGTGTTTTCTGATATCTCCACAAGAGTAGTATTTTTTACTACACCATCCTTCAAAAACATTGCATCTGCCCTGTCTCATGACAAGCAGTGTCTGGTCCCATGATTTCCTAGGCATCCTTCTGGCAGGAAAGCATGATTTATTTCCTGCTTTTTTTCCAACATTTTTTCCATTATAGACATGTATTTATCACTTTTATACAAGTGATTTTTTGCAGCCTCATTATACCAGGTTCTTTTCCCTCTGGAATCTCATGATAGGAGTTCTTAGTGGGCTTCCTGATGGGATTTCTCTTCTGAGGCTTTGTAGACGTGAGACTGAGGTGGAGATGATGTAGATAGTTACATCCATCTGCTAAAGGCCTCACTGTTGAGTAGTCAAACCATAGTCTTGTTTAACTGAATGGAAGCTTTGCTCTAATAGTTAGTCCAAGTATGTTCTTATGAATAACACGCAGATGAAAGAAAGGCACCATAACTGTCCAACCATTTTAGTATGGTTCATTTCATGGGAATTATGGCTGGAAGCAGAATGATGAGTCATGATATTATATTACATCTGTTTCGTTCCACAGTGGTATCAGAATCTAAGCTCTCTATTTGGTCTATTAATTTGTTTTTCTGAACATTTGCAGAATTGTAAATTGTCCATTTTTGCCAAAACCAGACCTCAGTTTGGCAGACTTCTTTTCTCCATTCCAGTTGTCCTTCCACCACCCTTTGAGGAGTTTTCTCTTCGTGTCCTGTATACTCTGGGTACTCAATGGTGTACTCAGCTGGCAGGCATGTCARATACATCTGTATTTAAATATAAGCTGTATTTCTTTTATTTTTGGCCCTAGGTTTTGCTCTAAAGTGAGTGTTACAGCATACTGAATGCTTAGAGTATAGTATAGGCATCTAAATTGTTGTGGTTTGTGTTATGATTACAGCGTTGTCTTGGTGATACAGTTTTTGCATGAAAAGTCAAAGTTCACATGTGTAACTCCTACAAATCCTGGAAGGCCTGGGGTGGGTCAATTAGTCATACATTTTATAGCATCCCACATACAATAAGGTTTTTAAAGGCTTAATAGTGCACAATGCTAAGCAGCGTTGGCCTGGGAAGCCTCTGAAAGTGCTATTGGGCCAAAAAAAAGAAAAAAGAAACAGAAAAAAAATTAAAAAAAAAAAAAAGAGAAAGGGCAAATAAATAGTCAGACTTTGAAGTAACATTTTCTTTGCCCCTCATCCGTGTTGGCTGTGCAGTGACAGTGCAGCACCCATATAATGTCTTATAGGTCTATAGGRGAGTCGCTTACAGGAGTGGGGCATTGCCTGACCTCTGTTCTCAGGGCTATTCAAACGTGCAACAGGGTATGGAAAATACACTTTAAGAGACAATCTTTGGGAAAGACCTTGTCTGAAAGCAGTGGTTCAACTGCAGATGAAAGAAGTGCTTTTAAGTTTTACACTTAATACAATATCCAGTAGCATTCAAAGGTCTGGCAAAACGAGCTGAACTTGATTGCATGGTGAATTTGGCTAATGGGCCATGGTCGTGTGCTTGCAGCCTACCCCTATTCCCATTTGCTTTCCCTGGCTAACAGGCGCTGCCCTTCCCCACCTGGGRCTGGACAGCTACCATTGCAGTCCCAAAAGTGGCTATGAGCTTGGTATATCCAGGCTGCAAGCTGCTGCCAGGATGACAYAGAAATACACCATGGTGCACAGTACAATATAATCTTTGTCATTAAAATCCCCATCATTTTTTTTTCTTTCATTATTTCATGGAGCTTATGAATAAGTGACATATAACCTTGGATATAAGCTATTTTCTTACTTTCTTGATCCAATAAATTTTATTCTGGAAGCATTATTTTCTCTTTATGAAGAATAGAGTTGTAATAGAAATGGAATATTTGATGATGAACAAGTTGAGGGAAAAAAATGACCAAGCTAAATCACAATCACTGTCTTTTTTTCTTGTGCATATCCAGTCCATGAGTCTAATAGAGATTGGGAACCCTTCCCAAAGCCTGGAGAATGTGTGTCGCTGGGCCTACTTGCAACAGAAGCCAGACACTGGGCACGCAGAGTACCACGACCACGCTATCTTCCTCACAAGGCAGGATTTTGGCCCCTCTGGCATGCAAGGTAAGATGAGCATCAATTTTTATTGTCTAGAAGTCAAGATTTGTGAGCAGTATTTCTGTTCATCATTTAACAAAGCTAATCTTGCAAAATTTAACTGTGCATCCTTTGCTTGGTTTTGGGCAACACTGTTATTTTCCCTCTAGAGCTCTGCACATGGCCATTTTCTATTGTAACTCAGTTATTATTTTATCCTTTCTAGCTAATAGAATTATTTATTGGATCAATTCTTTGCTCTCACTGAAGCCAAATAAACGGGATCCCTGTGTAAACAGTCCTGAAATTTCCCAAAGATTAAAGAATAGACTCAGTGTTTAGAAAGTCTTCAAATAACTGTTGCAGTTTTCCAGTAGGATAGCCAAGAAATATAGTTACAGAGAGGTCTGGAACAGGAAGACCAAGTAAAGTCCCCTACCTTTTCCTTTTTTTAGGGCTCTCCCTCCTTTGAGATGAGGTTTGTTCACTGGAGGGGATAAATCTCTGGGCTTTCTGGTTCCCTTTGGGCTGGCCTGGTCTGCTGGCAGCCTGAGGCTGGGCCTTGCTCGCACATTCCCGAGGGCTGGAATTGCACCCAATTGCTTAAAGAGCTGGCACACAGCAGCAGGCAATCGTCTTTCCTCCTTTGCCTCAYGTACTTGCAAGAAACCAGGTCCAGAATGGTCCTAGAGGAGAAAACAGCATCTTGGTGAACCACAAATATGGTTTAATTTGTTCAACAGACTCGTTTCATATATTTTATAGATGAGGGAGCACATCATTAAAAGTTTGGGGCAGGGGTCACTTGTTACCTTGCAGAGGGGAGCTTCAGCTGTGTTTGTGCCCCGCTGGGAAGGGCAGAGCTGTCTGTGCTCAAGCTCCTCTCATGCTGCCTTCCTGCTCTTGTTCATTCCCTGGGACCTGTCGTGTSTCTCACAGGCTACGCTCCAGTCACTGGAATGTGTCACCCTGTCCGAAGCTGCACACTCAACCATGAAGATGGGTTTTCGTCTGCCTTTGTGGTGGCCCATGAAACTGGACATGTGTGAGTAGAACTAAGGATATCCCTTATCTTCCCTCATGATGCCTTTGGCACTGACAGATACCCGTGAGACTGGTAAGATACAGTTTATGTGAAGAAACAACATTCAGGGCTAGCCCTGTGTTCAGTTCTTTGCTCTCCCATGGCTTTCTTTATGATCTTAGGTAAGCCTTGTAATCACTTGCTATTTTGTTCTTTTCAAATGGAAAAAGGAACTAATACCAAATTACTTTCCAGGGCTGCTATGAGACTAGATTCAATGATATATTATAGTCTCCTGGTGGAAATGTAAAGTATTTATTTTGATGAAATGTGAATTCTTTGAGTCATATTCCATTCTTTGAATGGAATACATGATTCATCTATAGCAAATAAACCCATCATCTGTATAAGTTACCACTGCTGAAGAACACAATACTGTATAGAAACAAGGTGCTAAGCACTGACCTTACAACTCTCTCTGTATGTTTCATATTAAAAAAGCATTTTTTTTTATTTAGGGATGTGATTAGAACCAATGGCATTCAGTAACTTTTAGAGCTTTGGTTTCTTCAGAGCTTTTCGGTTTCTGTGTTTGTAGAGAATGCCCAATTATTTTCCACTTTTTTTTCCTTTGTAGAATAACAGTTTGCAAGAAACTTTCCCCAACAGTTGCAATCTATTATATTTCCCCTAAGAAAGCCTGTAGACAATTTCCTGTTTTCTGTCGGAAATTATTTGAACAAAAAACATTGCCAAAATCTGTAAAATCTCCCGGTATATRTATCTTAATTAGACAGGGTTGTAGAATTGATACCCAGATGGTATTTCATTCCAGAATTTTGATTTAGGATTAAAAAGAATGTGCAATCAGGTTTGAAGAGATACCGCTGAAGATTGCTTGTGACCTCTGAAATCACACTGAGCTCCACTCTCCTAGTATAGATTAATTTCAGGAATGATATCTCCAATTTAATCAAAGCATGCCCACAGGAAAATGCAATATGAGATCCTAACAAAGGAGAGGTAAAAATATATTCACAATGCAGCCRAAAAGAAATTTAAAGATATCTGTAGCTTGGAGTAATTTTTAAAAAGCACCAGCACTTTGTGTGTGTGACATAGGCTGAAAAGTGGAACTGCTGCTGGGTGATAGAGGAAGTGAGTCTAAACTAACTCTCCATGGACCTTTTCTTATTCTACACCAAGAACAGGTCCACAATTGGACATTAGCTCAAATTAAGCTAATGTGTGTTTTTTCTTTTTTTTTTGGATAAGTTATTTTAGTACTGAATTGCTCCAGGTGGGAGCAAAAATACATGTCTGTTAATACCCTTGGGGAGTAGAGTAGATCCTTAATCTGGAAATGGATTCATTTAGACAAAGATATTCACAGTTGCAGATATGTGAAGAAGTCCAAGGAAGGCATTTTTAATCCGCTTGGGAAGTAGCTTAAGCTWATCACATGGAAGCACTTCCAAGGATGAGTGCTTCTGTTTGAGAGCTACTACAGACTGGCCTTATTTCTCCTGCATCTCCTCCCACAGCCAAGAGTGGGGAGACTTGAGGACGGCCGCTGGTGGCATTTGGGACGTGGAGGCCCTGGGAGGTCCCTGCGATGTAACGGTGCTGCTCTCTCCGCAGGYTGGGCATGGAGCACGACGGCCAAGGGAACCGATGTGGGGACGAGGTCCGCCTGGGCAGCATCATGGCCCCGCTCGTGCAGGCCGCCTTCCACCGCTTCCACTGGTCCCGCTGCAGCCAGCAAGAGCTCAGTCGGTACCTCCAGTGAGTAGCTGTTAAGTCCCTCTCTCCTTTGGCTAGGACGCCCATAAGAACAGCCCTGCGTGCAGCATTTTTGCATTWCGCTTTTATCCGGTACTTGAATGCAGTTAAATAAAAGAAAGAGCCTTTCCCTGGCCCATCCTATCGGGCGGATGATGCTTCCCCAGCAACTGCACATTATAACGCAATTTCCCAATTGCTCTGATTTCAGTCCACTCTGAATTGTCCTCAGTGCATTTAATTAACTGGCATCTGTTAATTTTCTCCAGGTTGACAGTATRTAATCTTTGCTCCCTCCCCATAGCTGCTGCACAGGAGTGCCTCTGCTCCCCACTGATGCTCGTTTCTTGTGACTATCAAAGTTGGCTTGAGCACTTCATTGCTCACGGTCCCTGCCAATGCTAAGATGGTGCTGCTTAAAGGGGAAAGTGCTGCTCTTGCTCAGAACTTCAAGACTAGCTAAAGAAAGTGTATGGTTCTGGACTTTTCTTTTTCATGTGTATGTGGTTACCCTTAAATACCCCAAATGCAAGAACCATTTTATTTTCCAGTCCCAGAAACAGCTTTATCCGTGTCCCTTCCTTCCCTTTGAACATGATCCTTTAGTCACTAGACCTGCATCTGGGTTCCCTGACAACTTCCACTGTGCAATCATAGCATTGCTCCTTACAGAATAGATCTTCGCCTTGTCAGGTGTAAGGTGCATACAAAAAATACAGGGAAACTACTAGCAGAATACACAGGAAAAACAGATAATGTAAATGCAGCAAAATGCCTGAAATAAAGTCAGCCTATTTTGTCAATACTTTAATGTCTTAGATATCTTAAATATGGGAATAAAGACTAAACTTATTATCAGAGATGTATGCTTGCTTCAGTTAACAAGATCCTTTTGTGCTTTATCTCTTAAATAAAAATCATCTGGCCTAGAGGGCTGCTTTGCATTCTTTTAAATGCAGCTCTTTTTAATATAACAAACCCAAAAGACAGTTTGCTTTGATGCAAGTCTAACCTCAAAATTCTGCTTTCAGAATAAACTTGTGTATGGCATCCTCATGTATGTTAAATAACGGAGGGACGTTTCAGAGATACTGCCTACCACATTGGTCTTGGGAATGGACCAGTGATTATATCGTTGGTGACCATCTGGGGACATTAACATCTGTCCCCAGTTCTCCCTGCACCTTAGCCAGATCTGGCTCCAGTTCATACATACACTGTTTAGGGCTGCAGCAAAATCCCCCAAGTTCATCACACAGAAAGGGAGCTTTGTAGAACTGCCGTGTGGAACTGAGGAGGGATGGAGACAGGAGACAAGTCCAGGTGTTTAATGCAGGCTGAAAAGGGCTCATGCTTGTAAAAGAGTCCCTGCTTCTTGGCCATATTGCAAGCTTAGCAGTATCTTGGCTTCTAAAATTTGACTTGAAAGACAGTTGCAAGCAAAGAAATTCCACAAATGGAAAATTAATTAAACTTTGGTTTCTTCTTGGTCTCATCTGGATTCTTCCTTTGATTCCTTTCATGTAGAGAACTGGAAACTGATAGGAATTTACCTGCAAGCATAGTGAAAATTACAATAGAAAGGCTTCAGAAAAAGAGTAGCTAAAATCTATTAAAGGTGGATACAAGGTGATTAAGTATATGTGAGAAGAATTGCTGTATTAACTACTTTATGACCAGTGTCTGAGAAATTGCAGGCTGTGTTTTGTTTGGAACAAGAAGACACTGAAACCACAAACACCGTGCGGGTCTTGCAGCCCCATCTGTTCCTGTAATTTTTGCCTGTTGCAGTTCCTACGATTGTCTGCGTGATGATCCTTTCGAACATGACTGGCCTTCCCTTCCACAGCTGCCAGGAATTCACTACTCCATGAATGAGCAGTGCCGTTTTGATTTTGGTTTGGGCTACATGATGTGCACAGCTGTGAGTACTTAGCTTGGCTGCTGATATTTTTCATCCAGGAGTGTTTTAAGTGTCCCTGAAATAGGGGCTGTATAGTGAAGCCCACAAGGAAAGATGTTGTTCCCACTTAACTTTAAACAAGAAATAACAGCTGAATGTTGACTAATAATTTTAAGTATCTCCATATTTTTTAAAACTGAAGTTACGGGAATGATTGTACTGTAGTTTCATAAATAGTTCTAAACTTCAGGCAAACAAGCTTGCTCTATTACTGAGTCTCTTATTGCTGGCAGCGAGATATTTTATTACAGCAGTCCAATCCAAATGAGAAGGAGAAGGATTTAGTGTCACATCTTGTACTGTTAATACAGGGCACTCTGCTTTTATGTTCCGCTTTTATGGGAAGTATGATGCATTTTGATGCTTAGCATGTGCAAGTAAGCGTGACAGTGAGTATCACATTTTGCAGAGACCCTTAATGATACAGTYGGCTCTCTTCTACCAGGGAAAAAAGAGGCAAAGTCTAAATTTGAAATAAGGCAAGATTAGTACAAGTTTCAGTGGATTGGTCTCAGAGAGAAGACAAAAGTATTAAATGTGTGGCAGCTGCTAACACATAATTTTGATTCTCAGCTGCAGGAGTATGTGGGATGAGGAGTGTCTGCAGGTAACAGATGAGAACCTCTAAAGCATCAGCTATAGGACTGTGTCTGGACACAATTCCCAAGGCTGCCTTGGAGAATGTCYCTGCTAGAGAGGATCTGCTCTTACAGCAGTGCCCCCCTGAAAGGGGGACTTTTAATCCCTCTTTATTCAGAATACTCAAAAGCATGTGGAGGCATCAGATTTTAACATATTGTGTGATGTGTGGTTCTCATTTTCTTGATGCTTTGACATAGATGCTGTCGAAGGACAAATAAAATACTAAATATTCGTAGGATCAGGATCCAATGAATGAGGATTTCCCTCCTCCAAGAAGGTGATCATAACTGCAGAACTACGGTCTGAGTAGCTTGTTTCCTCTTCCCATGAGGACTCAAGTATTACCTGAATGAAGCAGTATGATTAGAAAAACTGTAAGAAAAGTCAGTGTATGTCCATCCAGGGTAGCCAGCTTCCCTAATCCAGCTTGTATTTGGCTGCAAATATAAAATCTTTTTTTTGCACAGCATTTTTCTATCAGATGTGGGCAGAATCCCTCTTTGGAGCCATCAATGGTTTTGCATGAAAATGGCCTTCAGCTCTGCTAGTCCACAGCCACTCCAGTGGCATCAGTGGTGACATGTGCCATTTTACAGCTAGAAAAGGGGAACCCCACCGTGCTGTCGAGTTTTTGGGAGGGTTGGCAGCAATATCCACACTTTCTTCTCCTGTGTTTCAGTTCCGGACATTTGATCCCTGCAAGCAGCTGTGGTGCAGCCATCCCGAGAACCCCTACTTCTGCAAGACGAAGAAAGGGCCTCCGCTGGACGGGACCATGTGCGCCCCAGGGAAGGTGAGAGCAGCTCTGTGTGTGTCCCTTAACCGGGGGTTTCTGGGCACTCGGGATGTTCCTCTTGGAATCAAAGGCAAAAAGACAGTATTCCTCCTTCTGATGCCCTGCTTCATTCTTACAAGCACAGGAAACAGAGGAATRGAGAATGATTTTTATTTTTTTTTCCATAAAGCTTTTGGGCGAGTCTGACTGTGAGCTGCGTTAGGCCTCACGAGTTCTCAAATCCCAGTTTGAAGGGAGATGTAGTTGGTTTTACAAAACAAAAACTTATCTGAGAGTGTGGAATCAGCGAAGATGTGGGGAAAGCTCCGGAGCACCGAGAGGGCGGCTCAGCAGCGCCGGGAGGGGAGGCAGGGGCTGAGGCTGAGGCCACCGCACCCACCRCGCCGGCCGCTCCTCCCGTGGACGCCCTTTGGGGGCTCTCGCTCTGCTTCCTGGAAGTCCTTGCAACAGAGCCAGAAAGGGGCAGATTTGTCCTGGCAAATGACTCCTGCGAGGTCCAGGAGGGGCTGTGTTTTGATGCGGGATGTTGCTCTTCCCAGCGCTGCGCGTGCAGAGAGCGGTGAGGCCACGGACACGAATCAAGCTGAGGCCACAGAATGTGGCCGTGGGGAAGGTCTCCGTTACCCACATCACAGCGGGGAGCGGAGGGCGCTCACGTCGTGCTCCGAGGCCCRGGGCTGTGGAGGCTGCCACGAGCTCTGCCCCCGCGGCGCTCTCTGTGGCTCTGCCAGAGAGCAGGGGGCTGGAAAGGCCTTTTTTAGACCCCAGTGGGTCAGTTGTTTCTGAGACAAATGAACCACATCAGCAGCTGCCTTTCCTGGTTTTTAATGTCATTGTTTTTAGTGAAAACTCAGTGTGATGCTAAATTCGGTCCCCAAAAGCCCTGAGCTATGCAAGACATTCCCTTTAGTTTTTGCAAGACATTCCCTTTAGTTTTTCTCTTCTTCAGGTTATTCCTGTTAAAACGGTTTTGTTGCTGGTGTGAAAGTGTATCAATAAAAATCAAAACTACAGTCCCAAATCTTAGACAGTTTATGTGCACTGACCTGCTCCAGTTTTCTGTATCTTGGTTTTGCATTAGGAGGGCTTATGAAGGTCCAGAAAGATACARTTACATTGCTTTTTCTTGCTGCACTTACCAACTTTGTATGTTTTCATATGAGTATTTGAGTAGAAAGAAGAAAGAGCTTGTAAGYGTACGGTTAAGGATCAGTTAGTGCTTCCATTATAAACAGTTTTTCAGGATATTATGCAACTCATCTGTAAAAATTTTCTCTGGATGGGAACTTGGGATCCAAGATTTTGGCTAACTGTGCAGACCGGCCAGGTTTTCACTTGGTTTAGATGTGAGGGAGTGTGTGCACATCCTGAAGTTTTAGTAGAGGATAGAACTGTAACTGCTTTATTCCCATAGGGGCTGTCTCCCCCCCCCCTTTTTTTTTTTATGATAAATAGAATTAGTACAACCTTCCAAGAGAACCTAAGAAAATCATATAAAATAAAAACCATTTTGTTAGATAAGACTYAATAGATTGAGCCAAATATATTTTAAATAGCACAAGTTTTAAAGTGCTGCTATTAACTTGGTATTTCCAAGCTCAACATTTGACCAATATTTTTATTAGAAGYTGCTTGTCTTTTTGAATACAGATAAATCAGATGATTTTCTTTCATCTTTTCCTTGCTTTGTCATCCCTGCCTTTGATTTGACCTTTCTCTGTTCATTCTCTTCACCCATTTGCACAATACCAGAGCCTCTGAAGCAAAAGGACTGTGCCTGTAAAATGAGTAYGTTGCAGAAGGTAGGGACTTGATTTCCATGTGGTCATTTCTTGACCTTTCCCATGATACCTTTCCCATGATATCTCAGCAGCACTTGAGGAAGAGTCAAAAAACCCTCAAACTTGGTGGACTATTTTCTTTGGAATAACGCCAGAGGCGAACTGAACAGAAACATAAGCAATTAAAGATGTTGATTCAAAAAGTCCCATTTGCTTCCCACTTAGAGACGTGTAGTTATCGTGATTTCATACCACTAATTCCCAGTGCCTATTTTAAGCTGAGACCAATCAAAACAGTGCTGATGTGTCCAAGAAACATCCTGGCGTTGCCACAGCCGCGGGGACTGGATGCCAGAAGTGAAGGTCATGTTGTGGGGACCGACACGGTTTGCGGTGCGTAGCTATTTTCACCTAAGCCAGGACTCAGATAACTGATAACTGGGGGCCTCACTTTTCCAAACTTAGCTGATACTGTTGAGGAGAGGCCAGTCCAGGCTGCCCTTTTCCCAGCTGAAGCTCAAGGGACAGGAACTATGGAGACTCCCTAGTTGTGTCTCCTGGTCACAGGCATGGAGCATTACAGGAAGCTTTGACTTTTTAATGCTCTATATGTGTGCAGGCATGTATGTGTATATATGTACATATATGCATGTTTGTTCCTTTATGTAGATATTTGCAAGCTTTGAGCTCCAGACACTTTTAAGGATGGTCTCTTATCTATTAATTTTTAATGCTTTTGCATAAACTTACAATGAAGATGGTGATTGCTTCTAAGAATTTGCCAAAAGAGGAAGGTTCAAAAACTTGATTTTTTAAAAATCAGATTAAGATTTCAATAGGAAAAGGAAGACTGTATTGATTTTTCAGAAGCTGTGATGGTGCAGTGACTTGCAATTAATTCTCTGTGTTCTGGATGGTCATATTGACCTCTGGGAAATAAGCCCAGTGTGTAGTTAACTCCAGTGTGCAAAGCCAAGCACAGGAAGGGTCAGAGTCTCAATGTGAACTGAGATACGCTTCATATATCGCTGTTGTAAAACATGCAGGTAAGGTGTAATTGTGCAAAGTTTGACTCTTTGCATAGCTGGGGATTAAAAAAATCATATGCTTTCAACCAGTGATTTATTTATATGTAGCCAGTTCTGTAAACTCTACTGTTAGCCATAGGCTTCTTAAGCCAGGGCACCTTTAGAAACATATCATCAGTTTTTAGTCTGTTTCTTGAACTGTGACTCTTCTGAGGAGACATTTATATTGGCTGAAGTAGCTAGCTGCTCTCCATGAGAAAGAAGTAGAAAATAAAGTCACTCATGCAAGGTGATTGCCTACTAGAGCCCATCTGCTTGCTGCAGTGACTAATGCAAAGGTTTACCCCACCTGACTCTCCTTTTTTGCCTTTTTCTTGGGGAGAGATAAGAACCCAGCACCTTCCCGGGTCAACTGAGCTGATGTTGCTCTTCGGTTTGGCACCTGTGTCCAGGGTCCAAGCACATGCCCAGCAGTTCTGACTTCCACAGTTTTGTTGACATTATCCGAGTTGAACTTGGAGGTGCTTTTTGTCTCAACAGGAAAGGAAGGGATTGATTAAATATTGAAATAAAAAGATACTGTTAGGAAGAAAAATGGCCCAAGTGAAAAGGTACACTAATGTGTACTCAAAGCAATCCAGATAATTTCCCGCTGAGAAAGCTGACCTCAGCTTCTCTGGGAGACAGGAGACAGATGGATAAGTGTATGCTGTGTTAGTCACCACAGAAACAGTGAGAATACTTGATTCTCCACACAAGAAACTTTTTCTGCCTTGCAGGGTACATTTTACTGTTACGGCTTTCACTTTATCCCTTGCAATTAATTATTCTTAAGCAGATGGAGCCGAGCAGGCCAGCCTGCTTCTGAGGGGAATATAAATAAATAAATAACCTTCTCCTGGCGGATCTTCCAGCTGTAAGACACCGAGAGGGGCTACCTGGCAGGTAACTGGGCAGGCAGTCAAGGAGATGCACCAAAGGGCTGACAGTTGCTGTCTGATATAAAAAGATACAGATACCAGAAGAGAAAGAAGATTTCTTGAAAAATTACCTCACAGATGCTGTAAGCCCGTAGGAACACACTGGCTCTTGTTTTGGCCTCTGCGGCCGTTGTTTCAAAGAACTGCTGAAAACAGCAGTGGAATGTTTTACTGCAAGAGGCTTAAGCTTCCTCTCCTGGAAATTGCACTTGTTTTGGACTGCCCTGTTTGCCAGAAAAATAAGAGAGACTACAAGAAGTCATCTTCTCTTCCACTAAGAAAGCAATCTGCATTTACCCATTTTTTCCCTCATTTTTAATATATATATATAAGCTATAATATGCTTCCTATATTCATATTCTGTTTATTATGAATATAGTTGAAACTGGCTCTTTTCCACCTCATTATGTACTTAATGTACATTACACAAAGAAGGAAAGCCTTCTCATATTGCACTGGGGATCGCTACCTCCCTAGTTTTCTCTCCTCACACTCTCTCCATTTCCACAGATCCGGAAAGATTTGGTTCTGGTAAGATTTGGTTCTGGATCGTTTCCTTTTGTGCCTTCTCCTCTCTTTTCATCCCCAAATGAAAAGGCAGAGCTGCTGATGACTCACTTCACACAAGCGCGTGTCTCTTAGCAGCTCAGCCTTGGCTTCCCAGCCTGCAGCTCATGACCCGCTTCTCCAGTAAAAATCAATGCTGCTCTTTCCTTTACGTAGCAAAGTCAATAACGCTTTTCCATGTTTGCTTTCCAGTTCAGGGACCAATCATAGTGTCAAATAGATGCTTTATTAGTGGTTGTTGCAAACCCACATCCTCGGTTCCTCGTTAAAAGAAGAAGAGATTGGAAAACACGACATCACAAGTCTCCTTCTCTGCTGAGACCAAGCACTAGACACTTTCTAATGAACACACACTACGTGGCTCTTGAAACTGGCTTGGTGGTTTATGAACAACTTATACATAAGGGATGAAGAACTCTTGAAAAAAGGATATTTAAACAAGCACTGATCAAGGGTTGTCACATCTCATCTTCTCACAGGCACAACTGAAATTTGTCTTGGCAAGCTGATGTTCTTCCAGCATCCCCTGCATCTGTCTTGGGGTCCCACTGCCACCCAGGCCCCAACACTGTACACATCTTTTGTTCAAACAAACCTCTGCAGCCTTGGAAGTAAATAGCCCCTGAAGGGCGCAGCACTACACCTAAAATCGAGGAAGGCAAAGGAGGACACATTAGCATTTTGCATTTCTTCCACGCGCTTTGCTGAATTATCTCTTGTGCTGTCAAACAAGAAGAATCTGCCTCTGGAGCTCCAGAGCAGGATATTGTTATAATTGGCTTCGTGGTAACTACTGCATAGGCTTTGACTTAGAATATTTGAAGCCATGAGAAAGAACAAATAGTTGAAACCTAATTTCTACTCTGTTTCTCTCTCCTTGTCCAACCAAATCAGTAACAAAATAAATTGCTATGAATAAAGAGCCAGTCATTAAGCAGATTAGCAAATCAGTAAGCTGTGTCTTGTCACCATTTTACTAATGATCCTCTAAGTTCCACATTATTAATGATTATCCATCACTTTTGAATTTGTCTTCCCGATTGCCGTGCTTAAGAAAGCTCTCCCCTTGCATATCTTCTGATTTTGTTTTTGCTGGCAGCATGCATTCAGCCATATGCTCTGCTCGTGCTGCCTGCCAAATTCTTGAATTCCAGGGCTTGTTAAGCTGTGTAAAATGTTATTGTTGACTTGAATGTTAAGGGAAGTAAGTGACTGATTGCACTTGTTGTTGTGGCCATCTGTGCGCGTGAGCCAGAGCTCTTATCCCGACAGCAACCGCTAAGGCAACACACTGCGACAGCCTCATGCAAAGTCATTTGTGGTGCTTGAAGTATTTCCCAGCACCCACAGTTCATCAGTAGACTTCCATGTAGGCAGAGTAATACCCGAAAGGGCCAATGTCTGTGATCCCCGAGAATAAATGACTTCAGCTGAAAAAAAAACCTTTCTTGATTAAGAACCGAAGAAATTGGTTGTAAGGTATTAGCAGGTTTCTCTAACAAAGGGAGACGGTCGAGAGGATGTCAGAATTGAAGCTACAAAGGTAATTTTTCTTTCTTGAAAGAAGTGTGGAGACATTTTAAGGGTATAGGGAATTTAGCAAGCTGCATATTTCAACCTCTGTAGAAGGACTGTGCTTCCCTATGAGTCATCAACTAAGAGAAAAGGGAAAACTTAATAGACTGTGATTAACTGCTCAGCAGTGGGACTGTCCTGACTTGTTATTTCGTGAGTGCTTTGTGATACTTCAGTCCATTTTGATGTGAGGTCTCCAGAAATATTGGAAGAGTTCTTTACTTAGTATTGATAACATCTGAAATGCAAGATGGCCCTAACTTCATGCCCATTGCTGGCCACGGTTATTGCAGCAGTTTGCAGAGGTGTAGGAAGGACAGGGAAGGACTGTTCTGCAGGGGACAGAAATGTATTGTACCTCAGCTTCTCCCATAGTATAATTTAACCATCTAATCATTTTGTCTCATGTGCAATTTTCTCTTTTAGCATTGCTTCAAAGGCCACTGCATCTGGTTAACCCCGGATATCCTGAAGCAGGATGGACACTGGGGAGCATGGAGCAAGTTTGGCTCTTGCTCTCGCACCTGCGGCACGGGAGTGAAGTACCGGACGCGGCAGTGTGACAATCCACAGTGAGTCTGCTGCACCCCGAGCTTCTCTGTCTGGTGTGGGGTGCATGACGAGCGTGAATCTCTGCCAACTTACCACGTAGTAGCACAGAAAGTACAAGTACAGGAAAGGATGCTAAAGCACATGGGTGGGGCTTCTGAAATCTGACCTGATATGCAGATTTTTAAATATGTAATTATTGCTTTTGCATCTTACTACTGTATCATAAAATGTCATGGCAGCAGGAACTAAAACAAGCATTAGAATTAAATGATTTTACCAGACAGAATTTTCAACGCTGACTTGCTTCAGTATTAAAAATCATATTATAGTTGATAAAAAATACTGTTTTAGTAAGGCCATGTTTTCCTGTTCTGTCAGAAAAAAAATTTTAGCCGTCCTAATTTCAACCCTTATTACATTGGCAACGTGAAAGTGACCTTTATAACTGTGGACTCTGATTTAGTTGTAAAATCTGTTTTCATGCAAGAAGGGCCTAATGCACTATTGAAAATGTTTTCTGTATGTTCTGGAAGAAGGTGCAAACCCAGATATGACTCTTGAGCTCCGTGTTGACGGATAACATAATGCCAACTTGGAATACACTTGTGCCTGGAGGAGGGAGCACTAATCTGTGCTCTATTTCTGGATTTGCAACTGGCTTAGGGGATGAATGGGAATAAGTCACTTCCTCTGTTTGTGCTTTTCTTTCCTGGTCTGCACCAAGAGAATGGCTTTTCTTGCCTGTATCAAGTGCTTTGAGGCTCAGCTTGCAGGAATTGCTCCATGAGAACTAGACACTAACAGCAGATTTTTAAAACAATCTCATATTTTACCCCAGCTATAATGACATCCAGTAGAGACTGAGAGAAACCTTTCCAAAATGCCTCCTAGACTCTCTGTTTCAATAGAAAACAAATATCAGAGCAGTCATTAGACTAGATGAAGTCCAGATAAAATGTGGAGAGGAAGTACCAGAAATAGACAATTGGCTTTGTCTAGTTCTTGACTAGGATTTAAATTACACCTGAAAAGATATAATAAATACTTGATTCATACACGAGTGGCATAACTGACTCTCATTTTCCTTCCTCTCTCCAGCCCAGCCAACGGAGGCCGCACGTGTGTGGGGCCAAGCTATGAGTTCCAGCTTTGCAACACTCAGGATTGTCCTAAGGACTTGGAGGATTTCCGAGAGGAGCAATGCAGACAGTGGGATCCTTACTTCGAATATCAGAACACAAAGCACCACTGGCTCCCCTATGAACATGTTGATGGTGAGTAGTCCCTCTTCCCACCTTTATTGCATTTTGGTGAGGTTAGTGATGGCCTGGAGCTGGGTACTAATAGTGTCTCACGTGGCCATGGGTACCTGAAGCCAAGTTGCCTTTATCTATGCACCTAAGGGCAAATGTGCATATGGAGAGGGCTGGAGAACTGCAGACTAGTATATCCCACTGAGAGACTAATAGAAAAGGTTATGAAAAAGTAAGATCAGTAGATCCACATGTAAAAAATATACTAGGCAAGATCAAGTTGTTTTTAGGGAAATCATACTTCACATCTGCAAGAGTTCTTCAAAAGGTTTGGTCTCATCCATATCTGCATATGAGTGATCCAGTTCATCTAATGTACTTGGATTCTTAAAGCCCTTTGCACCCTCTTCCCCTACTAAATGCTCTTAAACTGAATCGTCATGGGATAAATGGGAATAGTCTTGCTGGGAGATGTCAGTGTCCTGCATGGAGCTCTGCTGGGATGAGTGCTTTTGGACCTGCTTAGCCATGATCTGAGCAAACAGATGACAAAATTTGCTCTGAATACAAAATTATTCAGGGTGATAATAACAAAAAGGCCCAACCAGACAAGGATAAGCAAGAGTGTAGATAGATGAGGACTTTTCAGCTCGGAGAAGTAATGATTTAGATTAAAAAGAGAGTTCCCGAAATGTGAGTAGCATGAAACTGAAGAGGGAACAATTTATTCACTGTTTTTCATAACACAGGCCTGGGAACATTAAATAACATTTTCAGGTGGCAGATTTAAAACAAATAAAAGGAAGTACTTTTCCACATAGCATATAATTAAACTGGAATTCATTGCTACAGGATGTTTTAGATGCCAGAAGCTTATAAAGTGATTGAGAGAAATTCTTGAAAGGTCTATAATCCATCCAGAGCTCTTAAGCACCAATACATAACCATGACTTAGGAAGTCCTTGAGTTGCATTTTTACAAGGAGTTTAGAGAATATACCAGGGAGAGTAGTGCAAAGTTGGTCCTGCTTCACATCTTTCTGCAAGCAGTGCTGGGCACTGTTACAGACAGGGTGTTGGGTTGGCCGGATGTTGGGTCACAACCAGCATGGCCATTCCGATGGTCTGGACATTTGGCAGAAATCAGCTCTTAGAACGAAAATGCTTATTTTCTTCTTCACATCTCTGCTCTAACCATCAACAAAAGTGTAGGTAATTGTTTGGGGTATGAAGGCTGTTACCATGCCATTGCCATGGTGTGCTGCAGAAGTGCTGAGAGAGATTTTAGCAAACGGAAGGGCAGATGGAAACGATCTTGGATGACAGACAGAGGGGCTGCTCACCCTTATTAAGTCTAACCCCTTAATTTGAGCAGTGGGTCCTCCAGGCCAGCGCTGACATGGCAAAGGACAGGTAGCAGGTACACGGGTACCGAGCTGTGCTCGGGTACTGAGCTGTCCCTGGCCAGGCTCAGTTCTGAGGGAGGGGAGAGTTCACTTTGGGTGAACTGTGTTGCATTCCAGTGAGAGGACACTGCCAGAAGCCAATGGCAAATTCATTGTAATTAATTTGTCTGAATTTTTTCCTACATAGTTCTCGTGGCTGCCTTATTCTCTTCATTGCGTCTTGTGCAACCTGAGACTTTCAGAGGATCATATAGGACTTCATGGCTTCATTTCATGAAATTGCTTTCCTGGCCCATGAAGAGGGGAAGAACCCCATGACCAATAGGCCTTTGCTTCTGGTTTAGTATTTGGAATAGTCTGCTGCAGAGACCACCAAAATGAATCATATTTTTTGCTATCAGCTTCAATGACTTTGGAGTCATATGTCAGCTCAGTCTGATCACTGGTCACTGCTGTTTTTTTGTGTAACTGTGATATAATCCACAGCCACCCTTGTGAGACTTAGGTACGTGATGTTACTAAAGGGAACAACTTTTGTGTGAAGACAAGGCCAGAGGGAGGTTATTCTAAAATTGTTATGTATTTAAAGATGCCTTTTGTAAAGATCAGGCACATCAACAGGTTGCTAGTGCTTGAGCACAGCAGGGATGTACCCGGAGCCCCGGGCGTCCCCCTGTGCAGCCTCTGCTGGGCTGCTCTCAGCCCTGCCACGTGTCTGCCACAGCGACTGTGACGTTGGCTCCTGGCTGCCGTCCTCAGGAAGAGGAGGAGGAGGTGAAGAAAGGAGTGGGGAATGGGCAGGCAGACCGCTCGCATCCACGCTTCCTGCCCCGTTCTGTGCCAGGCACCGGGGGTTGGAAGGAGAATCGTCCTCGGCACTTACTGGGATCCAATTTAATGGAAATTGCAAATTTACTGTTCTCATGAAGTGATGGGAACCGTCTCTAGTAAATAAACCCCTGGAACAGTGAGGTCTTGTGCATAAACTAATGTTTTTAGTATATACAAATCCGCTGGGTTTGAGATTATTATCATTTTAATATTTCTCTAGGAAGAAACCACACAAGAAAAGTAAGGTACCTGCTTTAATTGTCCAGACACTACATTTTTAGCATGACATATCTGCACTGTTCAGCAGCAGACCAAAGGTCTCTGATGTACCAATACCCAGTGGCCCTGAAGGCATCAACAGCAATAACAAGAAGTTTATTAAAAGAGGGCAGAAGCCATGGCATTGTATGGGGTAAAAAAATGCAAAGGGCCTGTGAAGATTTATTTTAATTGAACTACTAAAATGGAAAGGTCTCCATTTTTTAAATGGTGGGAAAAATGCCCTAAGTTTTAATCATGTTAAAATAGCAGGATCTTTATTTGTTCTATCTAACAGAAAGTCCATCTGCTGCTTACTGACAAGGAAAACATAGTGAATCTAATTAATGGGGCTGGAGAAAGCAAGAAATATGGATAAAGTGAAATACAGTGGTGGAATATAATTTTGTGGAGCAAGTAATTAGTCCTTTCAGGTTTATTGTCTGTTTTGTGCCCTTGGCAGAGGTTAGGGAGAAAGAGGTATGTTTGTCTGACTGCTTATACATGTGTTAGCAGTAAAAAAAATCTTTTTTCTGAGTCTCTTTGACATCGCATCTTTTTCAATGATTTCAGCCATCATAAATACAAGCGCAACAGTGAGGGAGTATTACTTTTTTATTTAGGAGGAAATGGTGTGGCCGAGTTGTCTCTGAAGACTTTTTCAAAGCCAGTTTTGCTTACAATGTAGAACAGCTGCTTTTATTTGCAAAAATTATATTTGCTTTTCTTTTTCTTTCCAGAATTAAGTAGAGTGTGGGAGAAACTGATGCAGAAACCTCTGTCTCCCAGAGGCAGCCAAACTTCAGACTGCCAAAACCTCAGATTACATAATCCAGCCTGGGATTAAGTGAGGGCCCCAATGGGAGTAAATGATGTGCTGGTTGCCAAGAGAGTCTCCTAATGATGACCCTTGGGTCCTTTCTGCTTCAGCAGTTTCCAGATGATCACATAACCTTTGAAAGGGGATAATCATCAATGATTTAGTGGGGACTATATTATTCTCCGTGATGTATGGAAGAAAAAAGCATTGATGCTGTTTCCATTTAAACTGCTGCTTGCAAAGCCAGCAAATAAACTGTAAATGGTGCTGAGCACACAGAATTTCGTTTTATTTTCCAGCTAAAGAAAGGTGTCACCTGTATTGTGAGTCCAAAGAAGTGGGTGATGTCGTCTACATGAAGCGGATGGTACATGAYGGGACTCGCTGCTCCTACAAAGACCCTTACAGCATCTGCGTGCGGGGAGACTGCTTGGTAAGAGTCCTCAATTTGGATGGCTTGGGAGTATTGTGGGAACAATTAAAATGGTAGTTTCTCTCCAAGAATGAGTATTTAAGTGGGGATAATAACATTCTGGACATTTTGAGATTTCATTAGGGCTGTTGTCACAATATTATGTGTGCTGTTCGCAGTTGGTCTCACATTGTGGGTGACTCAATTCCAACAGCATCTACCTACACAATTAATTCTAGGTGCAATATTTTAAGACAAACTGTTACAATTAGCTTTCAGGGAAAGCTTTTCCTGTGTAAGATTTGGCGGAGGTGGAGGCTACAATGAAATAGGAACGTGCAACAGCTTTCAAGGAAAGTGGTATTAAGATCTGACCGATGTGCATTCTCTCTGTATTTGATCAAGCTATTTTTAAAAAATCAATGACAGTTCCTCTATGTTGGGTCTACCACAGGTCATCTTTCAGCAGGATTAGAGGCTCCGATACAGYAAAGCGCTTGTGAAGGTTCTTAACCTCTCATAGATGCTCTGAGTCTCCTGGAATTTAAGCATCTGCTTTCAGATAAGCTCAGGCTTAAGAGATTTTCCTTAGCACTGCTGCTTTCTTTCAATATGAGGACCACTTTGAAATGTAATATCAAATACAGTCACTTAGTTGACAGTAATAATTATAATTTGTTTAAATGCTGGTCTTCCAGGAAAATACGGTATTTGGGGAGGGGTTGTTTTTGATTTTTGCTAACTCAGAAATCAAGGTTCTGATATCTGAAGGCTCATTTGAGTTGAAGCTTGGATAAGAATGACTGTTTTTCTCTTTTGCTCACAGAAAGTCGGGTGCGATAGGGTCATAGGGTCCACGAAGCAGGAAGATAAATGTGGTGTTTGTGGAGGAGATAATTCCCACTGCAAAGTGGTGAAAGGRACATTTTCAAGAATACCAAAGAAACAAGGTCAGTGAATTCAGTGTGTTTTGTACTGGGGTATTCAGGGTATTTTGTTTGTTCTCTTCTGATGTCTTCATTTTCATGAAAAGCACCTGTGCAATCACAAATAATTTCCAGCAGCACTAATTCTAATAAATGCTCTGGACTTTATTTTGAGGCATGGCTAGAGTCTGAAAGCATGAAAGCAAGACTTTTGCCAGTGATCAAGTGTGGCTACAGAAATCAGGGCTTGCATGTGCATAGGGAAGGGCTCGCAGTGGCCCCTGGTGGGGACCCCCGCACTGGTCTGCACAGCTGAGGAGCTGCTCAGTCCAAGTTCCTGAAATGCTGCAAGGATATTTCATCGTGTGCAACCTGGCCTTGGATGATCTCTATGGGGGTCTGCAATAAGGTCCTGGAAACATTTAGTAATGAGCCGTTGTAGTCTGAAACTAACTTTATGGATGACATTTAAGCCTTTTTTGTTTGTTTGTTTGACTYGAAAGCATTTGTCCCTGTTGCCTTCCCTAATCTGGCACAGAGACATGATGAGAGTGGTGCTGAATTAGGTTCAACTTTCTTTCATATACTCCCATTTTAGCAAATACAATTTACAATACAAGCCTATTTAAAAGCCTAAGCCAAACTCTTCCTGTTTGCAGCATACTAACCAGTTATTCTCTTTTTAAATACTACAATCAAGGGCACATTAAGATGTTTGAAATTCCTGTTGGTGCAAGACACTTGCTTATACAGGAAACAGACGCCACCAGCCATAATCTCGGTAAGTAACAAATAACAAAAAAATTCAATGGCAGTATTTTTTCTGCTGTTTATTTCTGTTTGTGGAGCTTCACAACGTGTGTTTGCACATTTGTTTATCCATTATCCTCCCACACCACATTTAAGTGCACTAAATTAGGAAACTTGTTTGGCAGTTTCATTTCCCCATGCTGGGCTCCATGGGTCACAGTAAGAAGATTCCTGGATTGGCAAGTGCCTGTGCAAAAGCCGCTGGGAGAACTGCTCAATTATGTTGTGGGGTGCAGCGACGTCTGCGGGACCTTCCCTGCTTCCCATCCTCAGCCACATCCCAGCTGCACGCAGAGCACAGCAGGAGCATTGACACTGTTGCAGGTTCTGCCCCATTGCTAATAGTGTCGATGTGAGGCTGCCCCATCCATCACAGCTTAGAAAATAGTTGAAATCCCCTCCTTGCTGTGCCAGTCGATCAGTGAGCAAGGTGTCTAGACACTCATCAGGGCAGGACATCCCATCCATGAGTGCTTCCCTGCTGCTTCCATGCAGCTTTCCCATCCCAGCTATCAGAGCGAATGCTCTCATGTGCAGACAGGGCTTAGGTTGGGGTGGGCTAAGCAATCCCCAGGGCAAGGGCACATTCCCACGAGCCCCTCAGGAGAGCAGGGAGTTAAAACCTGATGAGCAGTAATAGCCAAGAGAGGACTGAACCAGAACACAAAGACTGCGATCCTCTTGTAATCACGTTTTGCATTTTTCTTCTAGCAATTAAAAACCGGGAAACGGGAAAATTCATTTTAAGCGAAGACAACTATGTGCCGGACTCTAAAGTCTTTATTGACATGGGCGTGGAGTGGGAATATCGGAATGACGACGATAGAGAGACCGTGCAGACCATGGGGCCTTTGCGCAACGGCATAGTTATTATGGTGAGTCAAATGAAAACCATCTTCCATGGAACACGGCGTCGTAATGCGCTATAATGTATTTTAGATTCCTCTTGTGAATTGCAAGAAGACATCTGCTTCGGTTATAGGACAACAGAAGATGTATTTTAATTCCTTTCTCCTAATTCATTGCTGTGTGCAAGAGATGCTTGTGTGTTGAGCAAGCAGCTTCCCTGATGTTTTTTGGGGATGGTCTGTGTAAAGACTCTGCAGCCTACTTATTTCAGCTGAGATGTGAGTCAAAGTGGTTCATATCAGATAGAGTTAATAACTCTTCCTCCCTTCCATGTTTTGAAAATGTATCCTGCAAAGTCAGATACCAGATCCCTTTGCTTCCAGGCTCATGCAGTTAGGGCACAGCCAGCTACAGAGTTCAAAAATCCATCCAACTTTATTATTTCTTCATTGCTAACAGCAATGATAGACAAGAACAAGGAGGGCTAGAATGATTCAGCATCTCTCTGAAAGTAGCTTTAAACTGCTGATCTACAGCAGCTGAAAATCAAAGCGGGAATAAAGATGGTATTTTCAAAGGATCAAGGTATTATAGTTTATGACACTGACTTATGATTTTTTGCATGTGTCTTGCTGTGGTATGATCACAAAACCTCTTTCTGAACATTTTTTTTTTATAACTTGATCAAGTAACAAGTTTCATAAAATTCCCAGGGTTGTCATAAGAATTTTTTKTTGTTGTTTTAGAAGAAATAAAAGACATTTCTCTTCAGCTCTTCCAGTTAATCTGTACATTTGAATTGCTTTTTCTTTCAGTGGAACTACCCATTATCATTTTAGTATAACATTTCCTGCCTTTATGATGGTATATGGAAAAAATTTAGTATTGTGAAGTCAGTCCAGTGCTGGCAAGAAAAATCACTCTAAATCAACAACAGTCTTAATATGCAGTTTAGAAACTCCGTGTCATAAGGCTAGAGATACTTTTTTAGAAGGGAAAAAATGTGTTGAGTGCAGCTAAAAGATTTAAATCCCTTTGGGAATTTTTTGTTGTTATTATTTTTATTTGAGCCATGATGATTGCTATTTCACATTATCTCACATAGCTTCTGATATCAATCTTTCAAATCTTTTTTTTTTTCCCCCTCTTTGTTTTGCTTTCTAGGTGATTCCTCATGGCAGTTCCAAGATCTCTTTGACTTACAAGTACATGATCCATGAAGATTCCTTGAATGTAGATAACAACAATGTTTTGGAAGAGGACTCTGTATCCTATGAATGGGCTCTGAAGAAGTGGTCCCAGTGTTCAAAGCCTTGTGGAGGAGGTAAAAATGCAAGAGCAGTGCAGTTAAACTTGATTAAGGGAAAACTGGAAAAGTGAACATYTTGCGCCACAAAACATTAGTGAGACCAGAAGTGTAGGAGGGTTTTATTGGGTTTAAAATAAATAGATGAGTAAATAACATATGGAGTTAAAAATCTGACTGAAGTGGCTCTTGGGGCAAATCTGGTGTGGCTCATTTCTAATTTATGTTTATAAAACTGAAAAATTGCACAAATGTGCAAGATTTGGCCAAGGGCCTCTGAAATATAGGATGTCAACATCAAGGCACCCTAGGGCAGACCCTTACTGCATCTTTTGCAGCCTGTGCTGTGGACCCTGCTCTGTGAAAATCCCTATTTTGGGGCCACTTGAGTACCCCAGTGCTCCTTGCTGCTGTTCAGCAGAGCGACACTCAGGCTTTAGCCCCCTTGCTGCAGCTGGGCAGGTTTGCAGGATACTTTTCCAGCCCTAGCAGTTGCTGTTGTTTTCATTATAGCTTGCGGTGCAATAAAGGGGATGAGCAACCCCGTGTGCCAAATCCGTGTGGACGTGTGCCTGTGCAGTGCAGCTCTCAGGTCTCGTGCCACGCGTTCGCCCACGGTGCAGKGTGAAACCAGAGTCCTGTGCAAGACCTCTCTGCCCAAAAATAAGGGGAGTTTCTGTCTCCAGGCTATCAATTCACCAAATACGGCTGCCGGAGGAAGGCAGATCACAAGATGGTTCACCGGAGCTACTGCGAGCTGATCCAAAAGCCGAAGCCCATTCGCAGAGTGTGCAACCTGCAGGAGTGCTCCCAGCCCATGTAAGCATCACTGCCGCCCGGGCCAGCGTTAGCGGCTAGCGCTTGCCAGCTCCAAGAAGGTGACTTAAGCCTAATGCCTGCTTTTGCACCCTGACACGTGGCTGCTGCCTGAATGTGGGGCTCCTAAGAGCCTCTGTGCATCGTTAGAAACCCAATAATGCAAGTTTGGGTTGCTACTAGTTACATTCTGCTTGTGGAAATATTGCTCCAGCGACTGCTGGTTCCTATTACTTCTGACATAAGTTGGATTAGAAAGGAAGTGTTGTCGTGATCCAAACATTTGTGTCCAGCCTATCTTGAGGTAATAAAAAAATAGACATAAATTCAATTTATACCAGCAGATTTTACACAGTGTGAATTAACCACSTAAGAACAAATTTATGGAGTGCTACATAAGAAAAGCAATGACATACATTCTGTCAAATCCAAATCCGCCTAGAATTCACAGCATGTTTTTGGAGATGTAAACACTGGGAAAAATATCTGGCCAGTTTGATTTCTCTGGCTGTCCTCATACAGTGCACTAAGCCTATAGTACCGGCRAGTCTGATATATGTAGTAAGCTATGGACATTTCTATTCATAGTTTAGAGGTGCTTTTTTGACTGGCAGTGGATTAACCCTGTCACACATAGGGCTCACCTATTCCCCCTGTCACTGCTGCAACAAGGAAGGAGTTGGTTGAGCTCAGCTTTTCTCTCTGGAGACCACGTCTAGATTCCAGGAAGAAAAGCAAATAAGTAGAGCATAGCACACAGTATTTCCTAACTGCTTTTCAAAAGAGATTTGAGAGAGAGAAAAGTCAAGAAACGATGCCCCATAAACTCAACGCGGGTCAGGGTTTAACATTTATTTATTGGCACCAAAGCAATGACTTAGCGATCGTATCTCAGACTGTCTGGAAAGGACTGTAGTCTTCTTTCAGCCACAAGTATAATTGGACCCACGTACCACAAAGACTTAATAGGATCCCAAATTGTGCTTGGATTCCTGAATTTTTCAGCTGTCTCTGTTTCCACAGAATGTGAGCTGAGTATTTTGCCCTCGTTCAAAGGAGAGGCAATTATTTTATGGTTTTCATGAAGCTCTGCATTCAGAACAACACTAATATGCTACTGCCTCACTGTTGATGGAAAAAAAAACCCTACATTTGTCTCAGGGATTGCCTTAGAATCTGCAGCTTTGCTATGTGCAGCACTCGCTTTCTGCACAGCTGGGTAATCTCAGTAGGGGCAAAGACAGAGCTGTATGAAATTGCCACTCTGCTTTTCACTTAACTTGGAGGGCAGTGCATTTTCTTGTTCCTATTTCTTATCTATGTCTAGAAACTGGATTTTTATGAGTACTTTAGGAGGAGCACTGCAAACTCAGGAGATTTCTTCAGAGGTTTACTTTTTTTCTGTTTAAATTTAGCCCAACAATGCTGTTTACATTAAACAATGCTTCTCTCTTGCAGGTCTCTGCACTCTGTAAATATTTATAGAATATTGTATATATCTCCACTTACTTGATTACAGCCAAGCTTTCAGTAGCCCTCTTAAATTTCCACTTGTCCTTGCCTGTCCTTGTAGCTCTAATTCTCAAGGTAGTTTTGACGGTCGGGGAAGTTTTTATCCATATCCCTTTATAAACCATAGGAGAGATATTCCAGGGTCCAAATGGCCAAAGTGACAACAAATAGAGAGTCCAAAAACACATTAAGAACTCAGATCTTCTGATTTTCAGAGAAACTTTACCTCCCACCAATGCAAACCTTGCTGATGCTGAGGACCCTCATTTACCAGAGCTCAGCATAGACAGACCTGGTGGGGTAGCTGGGTGTTTGCTGGTGCTTTTGCGGCTGAGGATCCAGTCCATGGATTGCATGTGTAATATTAAGTTGAAGAAAAATTCTACCAGATGCCATTATGGCAAAATAAATAAATAATTAAATAAAACTATAAATAAATAAATAAATAAATAAAAGGCCCCTGTCACGTTGAGTCTAGAGTGAGCACTAACATGATATTTCAAATACCAATTTTGTTTCTGTTCCTTTCCAAAGATCTGCGACATCTAATGGCCATCTAAGAACCACTTGGTGTTGTCCTTCTGGATGGATGGCGCTGTTTGGGTGCATGTGTGCAACAGCTTAGGAGAMGAGATCAGAACTATTAATTGAAAAATGAGTCAGTCTGAAGTTCTGGGTCTTACTACTGATTGTCAGTGATATTGGTAATTATCTGCTTAGAACGGCTTAGTTGTTTTCATTTCTTCTTCTTTTCAGAGATCAGAACTAGTGTTACCACCCTACTAACCTCACTGTTTTAAGAGTTACTGTCCAGTGGACAGTTCAGGATCTAAATCAGGGGAAAAAAGTTTTCCTTAGCAAACTTCCTTAATCCACCAAATATTCTCTTTTCGCTCGCCCAGCTGGGTGACAGGAGAATGGGAGCCTTGCAGCAAGACTTGTGGCAAGACGGGATACCAGGTGCGCTCTGTCCGCTGTATCCAGCCGCTGCACGACAACACGAATCGCTCTGTTCACACCAAGTACTGCAACAACGACCGTCCCGAAGGCCGGAGACCTTGCAACCGGGAGCTCTGTCCAGCGCAGTGGAGAGTGGGGCCCTGGTCACAGGTCAGTCCCCTTCTGGAAGCTTGGAGCAAATAAGTTCATATGAAGCAGGCAAGAAGATCTTGGAGAGCTTATTCTGTGATCTCTGAACTAACTCCTGAGCAGGGCATGTAGTATTTCCACTACTATTTATTCTGTAGGAATTGTTAGGTGGAGAAGTGGTACCCACAGTAAAAACCAGTAAACCACAGTAAAGCCAGCTGGCAGTGATGCTGAATGATCCTGATTCCACGAGCCAGCTCTGTCCATGTATGTTTGTCACCTCCAGGAAAGCTGACCTCGACCTGCTCTTGATCCTGTTCAGAGTCTTTTAGCTGTTGGTATAAACTGAGGAAAAGGCAATTCATTATTTTGGCACTGTTATATTTCCTTTCAATTAAGGAATTGTTCAGACACTGCAAACAAGATAGATAGGCACCAACACCCATCGAAATGAATGCTGTGAGCATCTTTAGCCTAGAAGCTCTCAGCAGATGTAACTAATGAGCCTCATGTGATGCTGATCATAAGCCAAAGGAGTTTCTCACTTAATTTCCTAAGGAAACACAGGACATCAAGTCATGGAGCAACTGCTCGGTGACCTTTTTTGTTTACCATTACTATGGGCAAAACAGGCTCCAGTGGTTCTAGCTGGAGCTGGGCATTTTAAGCTTTTCATCCCTGGCTTTTGGACTAACTTGCCATGTGAGCAAGAAATATAATGACACTGTGCACAGACTTCTTGCTGAAGTACTTAGGAGCAATAGGAAGCTCCATATATTCATATTTGCAATACATTGCAGTCATCTCAGAAGCAAGAAATGTGAGTAATACAGCAGCATTAAATCATTTTGATACACAGGATCTTTCCAGTTCATCTCAGCATTTTTCCATGAAATCATTTATAGGGTTGTAGATAGGATATTTTATTTTAAAACTGTGTCATACGAATAGGAGTGATCAATTTTCATCCTCAGTGGATGTAACAGATATCATAAGCAATGCAGTCCCAGGTGCACACTGTGAATAGATGCTTCTTATTTACACTTGTTTCTATATGGTCAGAGCATAAGCTTTTCTTCGGGGTGTTTCACAGATCCTTGTATGCTACTTCAACCACTGGTGCTCCCTCCTGACTGGGTACTGTAGGTACAGGGGTGGTTCAAACAATATAATCTGCAAACTCAGATTAAATGCAGTGAGTTCAAATTTAAAGAAGACCTTCCTGGCCACTGTTTGCCAAGGGTGACTCAGAGGTAACCGGTGTGTATCCTTTCCAGTGCTCTGTGAGCTGTGGCAACGGCACGCAGGACCGCCAGGTGCTGTGCCGGACCAAGGACAACGTCGCYGGCTTTTGTAAAGAAGATAAACCAGAGACCGTCAGGAACTGCAGGCTACCTCCATGTCCCCGTAAGCAAACACCACTCACTTGGAAAATTATATATTGAGYGCTTCTGTTTGAAAACCTTTACTGAATTTCTGCTCATGCATGAAGCTTGCCTGGGTGGCCAGTTCAGCTTGGGCTAGGTTCCAAGCGGACTTTACAAATGTAGGGCTGTTGTGCAGCTGCTGGGCTTCCTGGGCATGTCGTTGTTTCACACTCACAGTGGGAAACACCATCTKCTATAGGCTGCCAACAGCATCCTTGGGTGGGAGGCAGTGCTCGAGTGCAGCCTTGCACCCTTGGGACATGCCAGGCTTGGCAAATGGGTTGTGACTAATCAAGATCGTTGTGGGCAAACAGGCCTCTCTACTTCACGTACCATGAGTGAAATTGGCAGGTTTCTCCTCCATTCTTCAAGGTTTCATCTTCAAGGATTACTTTAGGCTATAATAAATTTACTGCTACTTAATCTAGGACACCAATGCTTTTGTCCTTCTTAGCCCTTCTGCTGTTTGCAAGTGATGCTCCTAAGGTCATTTTACATGCTCCTGTTGTTAAGTGATTCATTTATTCCTGATGTGTTTGTCAGTATAGCTTTTGATTCCTAATTAATTAGAACCTAACTGTCAATTATGGTCTCCAATACAAAAGTTTAAAAAGAGACAGTGCAACTAAGCCTAGCCTGGATGCTTCTCAGCATATATTTAACACTGCTTGCTGGAAGTAGTGCTGGAGAACTGGCCTTCATGTGGCCTTCAGTGTTGGCTGTCAAGCACAGGACACAAATTGCAGCAAACTACCCCTCTCTACCCCTCATAAAACCTCCTACACAGCCGGGTTATAATTCTTCCCGGGGGTCCTACCTAAGGTCACTCGTTCTATTAGTTTATCCTCTTCTACCAGGTAAAGTACTTAATGCTAAATGTATATTGTGTTTTATCATTTTTTTTCTTTCCTCTATTCAAGGAAACGTTTCTGATCCTTCAAAGAAAACCTACATGATACAATGGCTGTCGAGACCTGATCCAGACTACCCCATCCAGAAAATATCTTCAAGTAAAAGACCCATTTATAACTCTGCCTTTGCCCTTAAATGCATGCCACATCGAATGTGGACTTTGCCTTTTGCTCTTCTCCTCTCTCTATGCGGAAAATTCCCTTGACTTCGCCAAGTTGAAATCTTGGGCTGAATCTTTTTTTCACACCGGCCTTGGTGCTCGGTGTCTTTCTTCTCTGGAGCTTGTGTAGCACTGGTGGTGGAGGTCTTGAAGTGTTGGCTGTGTGAAGCTGGATCTCCACAGTATGTTGCAGTCCTGGGAGCTGGGACCAGTTTGCTTGTTGCTTGGTGATGGTGAAAAAAGGCTCTTACTGGTTCATGATGTTCAGTTTGATAGCAAAACCGAGAACTTATTGTGAATGTGATCACATCACAATAATGACACCTTGTAGTGCTAAAGTTCTCCTTTATCTAAAGGCCCTAAATCTCATAACTCTCTAGCTTCAGTTTCCTGGCAGGGGAATCTGTGGAACAGGAGAATTTATGCATTCCATTTTCCTTTGCGGTGTCGTTGCTTTACTCATCCTTGCTGCTCATTTTTACTCCTGACCTTAACGTTGGTGTTCGCAAGCTGTGGAGGGCTCGCTGGCACCAGGAGCTCCGTTCCTGTTGGTACTTCAAGTGCTGCTACGACACTGTCCGCTCTTGCCAAACTCCTGTTGGTGTTTTGAAATATTTTTTCCTTGTGAAAAGCTGCATTTGTTTTTTTCCCTTCACACAGTTTTTGCCAGTTTTGCAGTACTTTTTCTATAGAAACGAAAACAAAGCGGAACAGCCATGTCCATGCTGCTGGTGTGTGGTGGCGTTTTGGTTAACTTGGTTGAGGCAATATGACCTTTTCATGGACAACAGTGTCTCCAGCTGCTCGACAGGAGCTATTTATACTCATTGCATCCTTGGTCTTTTTTCACCATATGCATGTCTGACTTGCCTGGTGTGGTTGCGTGTGTGCGTGCGTGCTCTATAGATGTGTCAACTGGCAAACATAACAGTGTGAACTACTACAGAATTACCTCAATTTTTATTGCTTTTTTCTTTTTCTTTTTTTTTTTTTTGGCTTAGAAGAAAAATTTTAGAAAAATGCCTTAATGTTGAAATGTAAATGGCATTAATTTACCAGATCCAGCTTTAAATATAAACAGTACACTGGTACCTTGAGTTAATCGTCTTAYGGATTGGTTTTACTTGAATGGTAGCTATGGGAAGGCAGTAAATTTAATGTGAGGTTGATTTGCACAGTACATATCCATGTCTTCGTAGAGAGGAGATGGTTACCAGACTTACTGACCTTTAACTGGCATTGCTGCTTCACCTTACGTGTTTGTGTTGAAGATTTGGAGTTAACAAATCTTAAAACTGTTTGTGCCATGCAGTAATAGTAAAAGCATATCAACTTATAGACAGCAGCCTCGGAGCAAACTACTACCTTATTGCATTGATCATATTCTTTGGTAAGGTGGCATTTTTGAATCTTTGGATCTCCAGCAGTGTAGCACTTCAAACTTGTCATTATCATGTGATCACATATTTAAATTTTGCTGTTAATATGATAATTTCCTGAAACATGTTAACAATTTACATGACAAGGTGAAAAAGCAAAGACACGTATCTGGCACTGAATACTGTTATGTAAAATAATCGGTGTTTAACTGTATAAATATATTCATGACTGTTAACTTTAAATAGACAAATGTTTAGTGATGTTTCAAGAGATGGGTGGCTATAGAGAATGGTGCAATAAGGTATCTGGGCATTGTGCACTATGTCTATATGCACTTTGGTTTATCAGGGATATTTTATTAGTGTTTTGTATGTATTTAACATAATATTAAAGATGTGCCAATTGAGTTTGCTTTTCAATATTTTTTTATGAGACTAATGTGTACCAAAGTGACTGTGAAACTGATTTATTTTTTTCTTACTGATGTTTTGAAGATATACTTCCAGTCTGTCATGCATTCTGCAAGTAAAAATAAATAAAAGTTCAGCAAATCTGGATATTTTGGGTTGCTTAGAGGAAAAAACCATCATTCTGACATTCAGAAATGACAGAGTTGAAGATTTATTTATGTAACTTATCAGATGTCACTAAACATGTTACATAATGCAGTTTGATTTTCATTTATTTTTAGCCTTGATTTTACATATTTTTGATAGGAAAAAAAGGCATTTTTCTAAAGGTGCTTTTAGTGATTCTTACATAGCCAGGAACAGGTCTGCCTTGCTGAAACTACRTTTAAATGCAATACCCCTTGACTTTAATTTTGCAAGCCATTTGGAGAAGCTTGCGTTAAAGCAAGGAACACAAGGCAAAATGTTCAAAGGGGCCACGACATGGTATGTAAAGAGTATATGCAGCTGTATAGGGACATGCAGCCCTTTTGTACAGAGTTGTGCTTGCAGGTACCTACAGTTTCCAGTTCCTAAAGGCTGGTCTGGATAAAACCCAGTCCAGAACCCGGTTAGTATTGGTAGGTTCTAAGGAAGTAGGTGCTTTTTATCTGGCAGCATCTCACTTTAGCAGTTAAAAACCATGGAGGTGATTTGACATATTTGAAAACAGGAGCCAGAGTCTTGCTTTTCTGCAGCAAATGCATGAGACGTGAATAGAAGGCAAGAAAGGTATTTCCAACTCCATCAGGAAAACGCTAGAACTTTTAAGTGAGAGTAATAACTTTATTTGTTTTAGACTGATTATGTTTGCCAATTAAACACTTATAACTCCCTGTAATGTTAAGTGAGGCTGAATGAAGGGGTGACACCTCTGCTTTCCGAGCTCCCCTAGTTCTGCTGAAGCTCTCTGGGTCTCTGCCTTGCTGCGAGGCTGCTCATGGGGTAAGTCAGAGCTCCCAGCAGAAGAAGAGCCCCAGGAAGGCTTTGCCKTGAACATCCCTCTTCCATGCGGAACACACATGTGCAGGAACAAGGGGAGTWGCAGGAGTTAGGCTGGGACTAGTAGGTGGACACTTGGTAAGGGCAGCAAGAAGTCAAAGTGATTTTTTTTGTGTGTCACTATTTATGCCAGGTGTCGCTCAGTCTTCTGCCTATCTCCTCAGTGCTCTTGTCTCCTCTCCAGCCCTCTGACCCTCTTGCTTTCCCTGGAGGCTGCGCGTTGGGATTTCTTCTTCCCTGCAATTCCTGCTCGTTCCCAGCTCCATCCCTTCTGTTCTGCGGAGCAGAAGTTACAGAGCGTGCACACAGGCTGGAGGACAAGCAGCTTTCCCTCCAAGGAGGCTCCTAGCCCTCTAGCATCCATCTGCCACCCATTCCTGCCTCTGCCTCCTCTGAGCACAAATCACAAGCGCTCGAGTAATCTCTGATGAAGCTTCATTTCATGTCTCTCAGAAAATAAAACAATATGGCCAGTTCCCTTTTAATACCATACCCTACATTTTACTACAGTCCAGCAGGCTCAGGATCTGGCTTAATACCTGTATTATAATGCATTAAAAACAGATTGTCATAAAGGCTAGTGRCAGCTTCAAGCCTATGGATTATCGTTCTTGTCCTTTTATTACAGTTTTTGACTCAGTGACACAGAAAACAGGACTTGGCCCTCAGGCTCCCCATCATTAGTGGGTGGCTTTGGCTCTGTCCTGCTTGGGTTTGTCGTACTAAAGATATTGTCTCCCTTTGAGAAGGACAAGAAAGTTAATGCTAAATATGCCACTTTTCTTGCAAGCGAGAGGAACATCCCCACAGTGCTGCCATTTGCAGGCTACAGACTGAAAAAAGCAATCACTTGAATGGAAAATGGATTAAATGCTGAGTTAKACAATCCGTGTAGAGATAAGGCTGGACTTTCTTGACGATCAGGGTTTTTTTATATATATAAATACAGCCTGACCGGGGTTACTCACTGTTAGACTGCATTAAAAGCAGTAATGGAAAAGACGAGGCTTATTAATGTAAACCCGGGTGGCTTTTGGGGGGCTTAATGCAGCATTTGGCAGCAGCACAGCACGGTTAGCGTGGTGTGAGCGGCAGGCCGGGGCAGGACCGCGCGGCGTTGCAGGACACAAGGGTCCACATCGGCTCCCAGGCCTGGAGCACACGTGGGGCTGATACACAGAATTCACATCAGGTTTTGCATCCTAAAGGCCAAGCTTTAGGTTTAGTGTTAAGCTTGCTTTTCCTTCTAGAAGGCTCATTTGCCATTTTCCCCTCCCACTTKATATATCAAACCCTCCGCCCGTTGCCAGAAACTCACTTGTTTCTTTTTCTGCTGAACGCCAAGATGCTCTTTATTTATCTGTTCCCTTTTTCTCTTGCAGAGGATCATTGTCAAGGAGACAAGTCGATGTTTTGTCGCATGGAAGTTCTCTCGCGTTACTGTTCCATTCCTGGTTACAATAAGCTGTGTTGCAAGTCCTGTAACATGTACAGCAATGTAACAGAGGAGGCCAACGCGACCGATTCCACCATAAATAAGAATAATGTCATTGAGGAGGAGTTCCTGACAACCCTCAGCACTCCCATGGCTGTTCCCACCACGCAGGTTGCCACCAGCTCACCTCCCATTTCCAGAACAACTGCATCTCCTAACGCAACTGAGGAGCACCCAGAAATTAATGCGGTGGATGTTCCCTATAAGATTGACGGGCTGGATAATGAAGTGTCACAGCACAACATCATTACCCAGAGGAGGATGCCTTATGAAAGGACGAGGAATCAACGAATTCAACAACTGATTGCTGAGAAAATGAAAAGAGAGACTCTTAGGAAAATTAATTAGAGTGGAAATACGGCACATGCAACGTTTTTCTCTTATAGAGATGGTACCAACATCATAGTATTGCCCRTATCATAGAGACTAAAAATGGGGAAAAATCAAAGTGGTGCTATGGCAGAAATGCCAAATTCTAAAGTCTGCTCTAAATGGGAACAGATTGTTTCAAAAGTGCTGATCTAAACACTTGGATGGCTAGGTTGACAGGGTACGGTAGAGTATTAGTGCAATATCGTTACAGCATTTCACTGAATCCAAACGAACCGTAATACCTAGGCYAGGTGAGCAGGATTCTTGTTTATGGGCTTTTTAAGTTCTTCTCTGCCTATGTAAAACTGCTTGGGAATCGTACTGGGAGTTAGGATGGAGGAAACCAGTCCCAAGACCAAATAGATCCCTTTCCAGCGACGAGCGGGTGGTCAGCTCTCCTGTGATGCTCCTGCGCATTGCAMAAACCCGGGCTCGCAGCCGGCTCCAGAAGGTGCCTAGGGACATGCCAGGCTCCGGCTCTGCTCCTTGGGCAGAGCTGCTCACCTGCCATGTGCTTATGTAGCTTTCTTGACCAGGTCTGCATAAGGAAATATATAGGACATTCTGTAGCCATGTATTTATGTGTAAATTAAAAATCCACAACCAGTAGCTTGCATATTGCCATAAACAGTTTTCAAGCATTCTCCTAAGCACTCGAATAGGTGCAAGACACTTAGTGTTCGGGTAGAGCCAGCCAACGCGGACTGACAGCACCCTAGTCTCTCTGTTTACAAGTATCCTTATTTTTTGATRGTCTTTAAACTCATCTAACACAACAGCCTCAGTGATTTTGGTTGGTTGGTGCTTTTTTTTTTTTTGGTGCATATTTTTCTTTCCTTCCCACATRCTGTTTAACTTAAAAATGACTGGATTCTCATTGCCTTTTCTTTGGTGCTTTGTGAAGAAAACTTTTTTTTCTCTCTCTCCCATAGTACAAGATTATTTTGGAGGAGGTTGTTTCACCACCACCTTTTCCTTAAGACAACTTTATTGGTGCAAAAGTGAGCGCTCACACACTCACACGTACATACACGCACTCACATACCATAGAAACTTAGAGATGTGTAAGTCGACAACCCTTTGAGTACTCCATCTCCTCAGGGTCACCATGATTTTCATCGGTAATTTTGCATTCCTCGGAGACTGGGAGACAACTTCAGATTGGCTCTTTGGCGTTAGGATCGATCCGTGTTGGAATTTCTGAGGACTGGCAATATTCATTGCCAGGATTATTTCAGTTATTTCACTCTGAGGGTAAGGCCATCTCATTCTCCAGCCTTCCCGTCAGCCCGAGCTCTTCTTTGTCTGCGGCAGAGCCGGTTTTAAGCCTGTATCCGTCACATGGTTGTTGAATAGGTGCTAAATTTCCAGCARCGTGTCAACTCTTCCCTGGCCTGGCTGCTAGCAGAGAGCTCCTAAAGTCTTGCAAACATCATGGCTTGGTGGATTACCCCATTCCTACCTCCAAATATGCTGGAACAGTTCRGAAAAAGGAGGGAGCGTGAAGGAAAAGCAGCCATTGCCACACRGAGATGTCCAACCCTCTGCCTGAGCGGTGCGGCCAGAAGTCTTTGGAGGACAGGAGYCTGATTTAACAGAAATAATGTATGAGAAAAAGTGCAGAAGGGACGTGCTGGGATGCTGTGGCAGCCTCCGCTTGCCTGTCTTGCAGAGGAGCGTGGAGATTCCCTTGGGTGCTTTGCAGCTGCTCAGACACCCTACAGTGACGGGAGTTACGTTGAAGGCCACGAAGAGCAGGCAGCCTAACAGGACTGGAAAACATCAGGAGTGCTGAGAAACACCTCGCGGGCCGCGCCGGCCCGGGCTCCRGCAGACGTGTCGCCACATGGGAGAGCAGCACCGGGACACACGGACACCCCAGGCCCCTGCACGGGCTCAGCAGGATCTCCAAACAGGACTCTTTACGTGCTGTGTATGGGTAAGAAAGGAGGAGAAATTGCAGCTGCTGCACACGGAGATCCAGTGTGAGACACACGAGCTGCACCRGGTAGCTCTTGCTTTCCTTGCCCAACTGCGATTCAAGCCTTCCTTCATCAGGTTGTTATCCTGCTTTTAGGTCTAAGGGCAGTATAGGTAAACCACAGCCCCAAGACTTTGTGTAGCCTAGAAGCAGATCTAAGTTTGTGATAAGTTTAAGGAGGAAAAATGAGCAAACCCAAGGACAGAGAAGGGCTGTGGCCCGAAGCTGTGCAGGTGGCTCTCCGGGGCTCTCTTTAGCTCTCCTACTTTTCTATTTCTGATATRTCCTGTGACTCTCTGTCCCTTTGCTGGCTCCCCAAGGGCTGATCTTTGCTGTAGCTCCTTGTAAATCTTTGTTCTCTCATTCTGATCCCATCTTGSCTCAGGAGCTGGTAGGAGTTTGCCATCTGGATTGTACCTTGCTTTACTCCTAGGACTTGGTGGAGAGCCACTGCTCCTGCTTTCAGAAGCCCGTCATACCTCAGCGAATAGTTTCTTGGCTTCCTTGGTATCTAGAACAGGTTTAGCCAAAGAGGGCACGTGAAGAAACACYATCTGAGAAGTGCCCGTGGTTCAAATGCTGCCTTGAAAAGAGGCTCTTCTCTCYAAAGGACGTCTAAGTGAGCAAGCAGAGAGGGAGATTTCATGGTGCAACTTCATGTGACCTTTCTGTATTTCACAAAATTCAAGCAGAAATATTTGAGGGTATTTCAAGCAGTGCCAGGCAGTGGCCCGCACTGCTGTGGGCACAGGGCCCGTGGCCCTGGGGCGCCTTCGAGCCTCAGCACAAGGGTGACCCACGAGGGTTGGCTCTGGTGCCCTGTGGACACCACTGGCTGAACGTGCTGGGATTCAGAAGGACTTGCTCCTTTTTCAGTCCCATCTTTTAGAGGATCTCGTTTGACTGACTTCTGACTATTTATAATCCCCATGGATGTTTTCCCAGCTGTTACTTGGGGCACACTGGAATAACGTGTGGAAGAGAAGCTCCACCTTAGATGGCTGAAGCTGGTGAGGTGCTGCTGGGTGCAAAGGGGCCCTTGTGGTGCACAGCCCCCAGAGCCACCAGCCTTCTCCATCCAGTCCTTCCGTGCAAGCAGAAAGGCTCGCCTCATACTGGCAAAGCTTGTSAAGATTGCTTCCGTATCTCAGAAGATGTTTTTCAGCCGTTCCTCAAGATAGCGGGTTCCTAAGGTGCCACACCATCTCATCTGCTGGAAACCCAGAGCTCCACTGATCCAGAAAGAGCAACCTGAGGCACGGGAGGGGGTGGCTTGTGCTCACCTGAGCTTTGGTCCTTCTCCTGCTGTGGAATTCTTGGGTCGGGTGTTGGTCAGCTGAACCTTAGACGACTGTTTGGTCCTTCCTACAGAGCTGTCACTGGGCAAAAGCCTCCTCGTTGTTTGCCTCCTTGCATTTTGCTGTCGCCCAGGTACTGCATTTAGAGACCTAAGGAGCAGAGAGTGGTATTTTCATTTAACTTAATCCTCCGAAGCTGAAGAAAGCAGATTTGTGAGCAAATTGATTTAAACTCCTGCAGAGACTGCTTGGTGTCAGAGCTGCAGCAATGTGGCCTCATTAAGCAATGCATTTTCTGACATACAAGTACACAACTTTCTAAATAATCCTTTTTTGTTTATCTAAACTTAAAATCCAGGTGCCAGCCCACACACATGCATATAAAAAAAGACCCCAAACCAGTTCTATTTCTTTTGACTCCAATCTGCTTCATTTTTTTCAGCCACATTCCTTTAAAATTTCTGTAATCTCTTACAGATGCAACACTTTTTTTCTGTTAACATATTCATTCAATATTTAGGGTTTCACGATATCTACATAGACGCTTTCAGATATTTTGAGAATTCTATAAATGGTGCTTTACCAGTACTCAAAGGGGTTTTATGTTTTATTTTATTATGTAATGCATTTAATGTTTTATTTACTCACCTACAATGCACAGTATTAGCTATGTTCATCTGAATATCTATATGCGACTTCCATTCACTTACATATGCCTTAACAGAAATTGCAATAAATAGCCATTTCGTGTATATTAAAAATGTATATACAAATTAGAATCTTTAATTTTATAATTTATTAAAATTAAATGTCTGTGTCCTTTTGCAAAGTGTTTGGCTTGTCCCTTTGCTTTTTTTCCATGGACATAACAGTGTGCCGATGTGCTGGGAATGGGGAGAAACAACACGCACCTTTGCCTCAAAATCAGCTCAATTTCCCAAACTTTACCTGAATTTATGCGAGTAGGAGGCGCTTGCTGCAGAAAACCCTGTGTTCCTGTTAGACTATCAATGATTCAAGACCAAATATTATGAAGTGACCAGACCAAAACCTTGGACAGTAACTGCATAGCAATCCATTATTTAAACCCACGTGAGGTTCTCAGCCCTTAATTTCTGCCCAAATCCATGCTGGTTCTCACAGCGTCTTTTTAAAAGACTCCGTTATTCGGGTTCATCATCTTGGGACTGATAACCAATTTTACTTTACAGGACTTGGTGATTACCTAAAAGATACCTATTTTGGTATCTTGGTGATTAGCTAAAAGATGCCAATTTTAATTATGTTTTATACAGTGCCGAGGACTTGGGTTTGCTGGATCTGCAGCGGCGGGGAGGGCGTCCCCAGGGCTCGCGTGTCCCCTTCCTTGGGCTTGAAGGCTGCAGCCCCCTCGGCCTTTGCTCTTCCTGGGCAAAACAGGGAGCTCTCGGAGGGATGCTGGAGACTCCCCGGGACCCCTCGCACCATCCCGGTCCCTACGGAGGCTCCAGGCCTTTCCGGACGCGCGTTTTGCTGCCTGGCTGCCGCTAGATGGTGGCAGGAGACAGCAGTGCGGATATGGGACCAGCGCCAGGACATGGTCCAGCTCCAACGCGGACGCACCCGGCGCTGCAGCCACAGCAGGGCCCAGCACGGCCAGCACGGAGCCCACGCGGTGACACGGAGCCACCGGTGACACCCAGACCCTGTCGGGCTGGATCCGGAGCCAGATGCTGAGCAGGAACCTTGCGGCAAACACGTTCTTCGGCCAAATGGGGTCCCTTGTCCGTGTGCAGGTGCCTGACGTGATCATGAGGTGGTTTGCAATTAATGACAGTGTCCCAAAATGTGTTAGATTAGATTTATCCTGGCTGTTTGGGGTGCTGAGCTGTGTGGGGCAGCAACAATGACAGTTTGTAAAAGAAAATTACTATGTACACCTATAAAAATACATATATAGATATATAATTATATAGAGAATATATACACACGCATAAATATATATATATCTAAAGAATGAAAACCCCAGAGCCTGAGAAACGAGCACAGACCTGTCCTGTGCCCTGGCTCTTTGCAGCTGGGAAGAGCAAAGCCAGCTCGCTCGGGCTGGAGCGGCGCTCGCTCCTGCACGTGGCATCCGAGCCTTGCTGCGCTCCCGGCCTGGGCTTTGTCCCCACGGCCTGTTTTCCTTGCACGG